TCTCAACCGCTGATCCTGGACAAAACTATGAATCTGCTGCGCTACAACACTTCCATGTGCCTGACCGTGAGGACGCACAACTCCCTGCCAATGAAAATGAGCCACAAGAGGATGCCGATATTGAGGACGGGGAAATTGTTGACATGGATGTTGTCAGCGCAAATGTCGACATCCGTCGAGACCCCATAGATGCCACTGATGAAGATGCTGCAGGACAAGCAGATGACGATATCCTGATGGAACAAGATCAGTTTTTCCACCTGCAACACGCACCGGCGTCCTCCCGTTCATCATCAACCCCCAGTTTTTTTTCGTGGATCTACCTCTACAGGCTCATACACTTCCTTACCCCCCGCGGCTTCCGCCCACCAATCACACCTATATCAACACATTATTCTGACCAAAAATGCGGTGTCGCTCAACTCTCCGGAGCCTCTAAATGAAGACCAGTCCGACGGCCAATATCCTTTTTTTTTTCCAGCTTCAAAAAACCAACCTCCAGCCACAACGCCACTCCACATGACTCCGATTCTGATGTCAGCGCCAGCAATGCAATGAGGGGTTTTGCGGGTTGATTCGCGTAAAGGAAGTCCTGCTCGAGGACGTCCGGCATCACAAATCATGAAGCTATCTGGAGGATCTACTCGTAGCGCATCACCTCAATCATCTCAAGTCACCTTCATCTCGTCCTCCATCACGCAAACGTGCCAACAACGATCAAGCTTCCACTGCTGCTGCTGCGAGCGGCTCTCTGAAACAGCGCAGGCGCTGATCCAGCAAGTTGGCGAAAAGCGCGATGGTCGTGTCGAGCATGATCGCTACAAGCGATTGAAGCTTGAGAGTGACATGTGGGCTAGGGAACTTAAAGTACGCAATGCTCACAATGAACGAGAACATGCTATGCGTCTTGCTGAGCAAGACCACCTGCACAAACGCGAGCTCATGGGTCACCAACTGGAGCATGCAAAGCTAGAGCTTGAGCTCGCCCGTGCACGTCAAGAAGAAGAGGAGGCAAGGATTCGGTGTATTGCAATGGACGGAACCTGGGTCAAAATTGAGTCTTGTGTTGTCATCTTCGCGTGTTGCCTCTTGGTTTGTTACTTTGTGCTATCTTTGTTGTTTTTTTCGTTGATAAATTTGCTGTTGTTCGAGTACTGCCAGTGTTTTGATATAAGCATTTGATACACAATTCCGCTGCTACATCTACTGAAGCTTGAGAAGCAAACGCGCCATTAAAGCATTCCGAAATTCTTGTCCCGCTGTCCCGATATAGTCTCGTCGCCCTGCCCCTCCTCTCCCTCCTCCTCCTCCTCCTCGACATTCAGATCCATCCTCTGCCCAGTCAGTTTCCTCGTAAAAAATCGTCACCGGTACTTGCGATGCCAAGAGTCTCCTCAATCTCAACAATCAAGTTATGCAAGATTAGACAGCAGCGGATCCACATGTTGGAATAATCCAGCTCTTTCTTGCCTTGGATCGGAAACCGAAGCTCTCGTAGGCTCTGGAATCTGCCCTTGATTGAACCGAAAAAGTGCTCAGACCGAACACGGACCTACAAGTATGTAAGCGACATTCCGAAGCCATCCATCCACACTTACTTTGGAAAGGTGATAGTTGAACGTTCTCTGATCCCTCGTCAACGCCCCTCCAGGTGGTCGTTTGAATGGTGTGACACACCATACTTGCGAAGCATATGCGGAATCAGCCCATAGCCACTGGTTCGCGCCGAAAAAATTGTTTGGGGTGCGTGCGACCCTGGTTCGCCCAAAAACATTAGAGTCATGAAGACTACCAGGTACGCCAATTACATAGTCGACAATACGGAGATTGTGTGGAAGAATGACAACCTTTTGAAAGCATGAGCTCATCCAATGAAAGGGAAAATTAACGTACCTGAGCAGTGAGAGAGTAGTTTGAATTTTTGTCAAAAAACCCCTCACCGTGCCACCCAGGCTTCCGAAATAAGTTGAATGGGGTGCCATCGACGCAGAGGAAGCCACCACGCCATTCCCGGCATGTCTTCCCCTCAACCCACTGCTGCGCTCTTTTCCGTTCCTCTTGATCTTCTCGATCAAGCGGATCGAAGTGGATCGCGTCGTCATGGTGCTTCAAAAGTGCGATCATAACTCTTTTGAAGCAGTTATACACAGTTCCGACGGATACCCCTGCCCATTCGGCCAAATCCTGCGTCGTAGCAGCATTTCCATAGTGGCCTATGCCATTGAGAAAAACCGCGAGTTGAATGGGGATAGGAAGCTGTGGGTTGTTAGAGTTGTTGTAGAAAATTGCGTGTGGTTGGATACGTTCGACGAGCTTGTCGAAAACAGCAGGGCACACACGAAGCTTTCGGCAGAATTTGTCGGGGGCATGCATCCCCCATTCCGGCAGCAGGTGCAGTTGTGGGGCATGGCTAAGTTTGGGTCTTGCATTAAGGACACGGCTGATCTCTACTTCGTCGTGCAAAGCACAAACAGCATCTATAAACTCCGTAAACGCTCGACTGGCCATCTGTGGCACATCCAATGAGAACTGGGAGGATGCGAGTGAATAGGCGCTTGTTATGGTGATACCAGTCATCAGGGAGTCCAAAGATTCATCCGATGACTCTGAACAAACTGACATGCCAATGGATTCGGATCCACTGCTGTCATTAGAGGAAGTACTGTAACTGTCATCTTCGGAGTCTGGTTCTTCAAGGAGCTCATCAAGTGCGTGCTGCACAAGCTCTACATAGCGGGCTAATACAAGGTCATCATGTGCATTTTTTAGGGCTCGTAGTTGTTGTTTTCGAAGCGATATGCGAGGCATAAGTAGTGGGCTGATCTTATCAGCGCAGTACAGTGATGTGTAAGCCAGACGGAGTTATAATTCGGAGTTTTAATGGTGTCGTCCAAGTTTCCAAGCGTTGTCTGTTCCGTATCGGTTTTAACTTTGAATACCACTAATACATGCGATACGAGCTTGGTATATATAGGAGCTCGAACAAACAGCAGCAAACAACGCGCGGTGTCCAATCAACGAGTCCGATGAGTAAGCCCAGCTTACAGAACTCAAGGGAATATCGGCAGGCTTAACTGTTCATTACGGATACCAAGAAAGGTAATAGTAGAATAAGGACGAAGAGAATACATGTAAAGCAGACCTAGAAATCCATCGTTGTACCTTCGACAACCACGTACTGACACCTCCTATACGGCGGTGGAACAGAAAATGTTTCTCAACGATGCTTCATCCATGCGAGGTTTGAAGGTCAGGCTGAATGGCTTCTGGTGTGATACTATGCCAGGGGTGAAGGTAGTGTCGTCAATAGGATTGCTAGGATCTTCTGCCAGTGTGAAGGACCAGAGGATAAGAGCGACAGCGATGTACACTGTTCTGAAAGTGGCGGATGCATTGAAACAAAACTCATCAGGCCATATTGTCGACTCACCGGTCAGCAACATGTAACCCGGGGCATGCACTGAAATATGTTCAGCGGAAACCCAGTGAAATAAAGAATTGATATCTACCGTCTTCCAAAACCAAAAGTGAACAGCTTCATGTCCTCTCTGATTTCTCCATCTAAACCGATCCATCGTTGTGGATTGAATATTTCTGGATCGTGATAGACAGAGGGGTCACGCGCGATGCTCCTGAACCACAAAGTAAGAAATTGTAAATCAAATCTGGCGTGCACCAACCAATGATTTCCGAAGACAGTGGCGCCAGCAGGGATGCACATGCCGTTCTGTGATGATAGACTCAGATTTGATCTGTGATTGTGTGCGACATACCCAAATGATATCTTTCGTTGCGCGGTGGGGTAAACCTGGAACGCCGATTAATCAAATGACCTTGAATGTAGTTGATTGGCTCACCTATTGGGTTGACAGGCCTCCATCGAAAGGCTTCCAAAATGAAGGCTTGAACCTGAACAAGCTGTGACCAGTCCTCAAATGTGGGAGCTGTAGTACAAGGTCAGTCGGTTTTGAACTAAGGTGGTTTAGCTTGCATACTAGTCTCTCGGCCAATGATGGCTTCTAGCTCCTCATGTACATGAGCCTGTAAATGTGGAAAACGCGCAGCAGCCATTAAAACTGTTGAAATCGCGACAGCAGTCTAAGATTCCACAAGTTAGTTTTGCCTGATCTGAATCAATATCGGTTTCTTGGCTTACCGTATCCGAGCCTGCTCCGACGAGGGATCCAGAAAGATATGCTATCTCTGTCTCAGACAGCTGGTTCTCCTCCGCGTGTAGAAGGAGATCCTTCACAACTGAATGAGGGGCGATGTGCTTGTCCTGTTGTTCATGACGAGGTCGATGCAACGACTACACTAGTATAGAAGACGAGTCTGTACCATTTGACTTTTAACCCGATTTAGCTGGCCGAATAACATGTTGTATTCTTCCTCGCTCCACTCTTTTAAATTTCGCCCATAACCAGGGACATATTTGAGGATGGGGTACTTGTCAACGAGGTATGCACCTGGCACCATTGTACTCTGAACCCTTGGGATCATCTTTTGCAGCTGTAGTAGATACGGGTCATTAAGCAAAGTAGGGGTTGTTTTCCCATATACGATATGCAGCATTACAGATGTTGCGAAACTATGCGCGGATGTCACCAGCCAAAATGTGAGAATAGGGGACGGACGAACCGCTTGATATGCTGCTGGTGCAACTCGGGCTTGTGCAGTATGTCCAGAATAATATCACGTGCATGCGCGACCTGTACCGGTTCGTAAGTCTGGGCAGACCTCACTTGGAGGTGCGAATGCGAAGATCTGATGTGATCGGGCTGGTGAGAGTCGGGTTTTAAATCAAATAATGTGTTGCCTACTTGCGAAATTTGCGGAGCCTCTCGCCAGAGCGAATTTGGGCGAATCGCATTCCTTTCCCAAAGATGTCACCGCTAGCACCCGAACGAGGCCGGTCTACGAGGAATGCACCCTGCTTCTCCATGATGTCAATCGCTTCCTGTCAGAGATGTGACTCATGCCTGAGTGGTAATGTCCTACAAGATGTCATACCTGGTAACGCCCGACAATGACTAGTACATTTTTTCCATCCTGCAAAGAAATGACTGGTCCATATTCGTCTATCCACTGAGCAATCTTCCTGGGTGGACTGTTGTCATGCATCAATATATAACATTCATCGTATGACCACGACACGTACTAATACCCAATAGGAGAGTCTGATGGCCCAGGGGGTAAGGATAGCATACGGGAACTAAATGTGCGAGAGCGGTAGGAGTAGACAATAACGCCTAGTAGACCGAGGATGACTACCCCAGTCTGCCAGTGCCACACGGGGAACATATCAAGCATGGAGGACATGGGTAAAAAATCCCGCCTAAGGTGCTATCTTCCTCCACGTGGTTTTTGTACGGTCCCAGCCTGGTAGGAAACTGGATGATAGTAAGTATTACGTATGAACAACCAACCACCTACTAGTACATTCCGTACTTCACAAAGGACCTGAACCTTTCTCGGCTCAAGTGCTACCCCAGCAACATTCCGCAGCTCCATATATCTCGCATATATGGCGGCTCACCAGTCTTCTCGATGCGTCACTAAAACTATTCAGTACTAATGCTATCAACTGCGTGGTGTTGCTGTCGAGGCGAGTTAAACTCGATGTGAACTCGGCTCGCTTCGAAAATGTTAATCTACCAGGGAGGGAGAAATGAATTTCTTGCCGATCTCCAGGTGGCATGGGAACTACTATATATGGTAAATTTAGTGTTGATGGGTGACTGCCTCGGGAATGCGTCTACATATGGGATTTGTACGTCATACCTTGACTTGGAATTCAAATGATGCTGACGGCTAACCAGTCTTCTCGATGCACCACTCAAACTATTCAGTACTAGTGCTATCAGCCGCGTAGTGTTGCTGTCAAGGCGAGTTAAACTCGATATGAACTCGGCTCGCTTCGAAAATGACCAAATTAGTTCTGCAGCTATGGTGCGGGGCACTGCCATTGACGCGACCACCTGTGCCCTACCCACCTCCCGCTACACACCAACACACCCAACCAAGACCCTTCCCCACCTTTCCATTATCCTGCTGTTGCCCTCCGAGTCCATGGGATCTTTTCATTGTGAATGACGTGAAGGTGTCCGGACTTTTTTCGCTCAGGGTTTGAAGTCGCTCGAAGGACCGAGAAGATCCGAATGATAATAGGTTACCATGTTCAAACTCGTCCGCCCCTACTTCTTCATTACCTTTTAACTCATGATATATCGAGTTAGAGTCAACAACTTCGAGGTCCTGAACTACCTTCTGGGACAGAAGAAGTACTAGTGCCAGCATCAATAGACACAGTAGGTTTCTCACCAGCCTTCCCCATCAGAAGCTTGCTACCAACAACTACCTGGGACTAATTACTTGTAGCCAAGGCGAGCGCTGCAATAATACCCCAAATGCACAGAAATTAATATATATACATATATATAAAGGATGATAACATAGTGTTATTTCTCGCCCACAACCAGCACCGGTACCATGGCCCACGCAGAGCTTGATCGTCTCCAAGCATGTTTGAACTTCGCACTTGACACCCTCCGCAAGGAGATGGACAACTCTCAACTTCCTCCCCTGAATCAACACAGCTCAGTACAACACCCGTTGGATGACCCAACGGCTTACCTCCCCAGCGCGGCGTTATTCAATGCTCGCCGCCTTTCTCTAGGTAAGCCGCTATGCTTTACACTCACCGACGCCTAACCTTCATGGATCATCCTCTAGCGTGCCTGGTTGGTTATTACCGGGCCTTGCCTTTTATTCGTCTGAGCACCTTTTCTAGGGAGAACTAAAGAACCTTATCCAGCCACCCTTGGATAAACGCATGGATGAAAAGTTCTCAACGTATAGCGCTGCCTCTATCGATACCCTCATCAAGACCAGTATCATCGACTACCTGTCTGACTTGTCAAATCCCTCCGAAGGTATCCCAGCCACTGAATTGGCCTCAACATTTGGACTGGATTCTCAAAAGCTCGTTCCCATTCTCCGCTGCTGTGCAGCCAACGGTTGGGTGCGGGAGACCCGTGATTCCTCATTTGCTTTGAACAGATGCTCGCGCACTTTCGTCAAAGGTCACGCAGGTCGGAGACTGAACCTTTCGTATGTTTTCACCTTATGAGCGCCCACCAAGAAACTAAGCCAAGCAGTACGCCTGGGTTTATGTCAGTAGTCGCAGCCATGCCACGTTGGGTAACGGAATCGGATTGGAAACTCTCGCGTTCTCCAGCGCAGACTGCTTTCCAGATCGCGTTCAAGACTCCCTTGCAACGATTTTCCTGGGTCATGCAAAATCCACAGGCCCTGATTCCACTGGCGGATCATCTCCAAGTCAGTATGTCAGTGAGAGTTACACAGCACTTACCGAATTTTACCGTTCCAGGTCCTTGGTGACATGTCTACGCCGAGTATTGTAGCAGACTACCCATGGGAACAACTGGAAACACCCATCATCGTTGATTGTGGAGGGGGAGAGGGTGGTCTAGTTTCGGCCATCCTAGACGCGTAAGTTACATATATTATATTCTTAACATCCCTGAATTCTCAATCATGGCAGACATCCTTCCTTCCAAGCCATCGTGCAAGACATGGAGAATGTTGTCGCACTGACAAGTTCGATTATGAAAGAACGCCGCCCTCGTGATATAGAAAGCGGTACACTTAAGGTGGAATCCTACGATCTTTTCCAGTCTCAACCAAGAATCGGAAACGAGTATAGTTTCATCTTGCGTCATATATTGTAAGTGCTGGTCCCCTCAGCGCTGATTTTGTTCACACCAGTCCTATGTACCAAAGGCATGATTGGCCTGACGAAGAAGCGGTCTGTGGCGCACATTCTACCTAAGTGGCACAACTGACTTTGCCTCAGGCGGCGATATTGAGCAACTGTAGCTCGCGCACTGGGCCCCAAGGCAAATAGTCGGATCAACATATCAATGTGCTATATCTGACATGTTTCACAGTCCAAAATACTCATCATCGACATGGTAACTATCCCGAACGTAGATTCGACTGCTACAACGAGTGTCAAATCATTCCTAATGGACGGCGATGACAAACACCCCGACTATTGTGTTCCATCGCACTTTGGTTCAGCATCCAAACTAGTCAACGCGTACTCAGTGCACATGCTGTCCTTGATGAATGGTTGCGAGAGGTCTTTGGTACGTGCCGAGCAAGGTCTGACCTATCTGTCACTGAAGATTAAACAGCGCGAGTGGGAGAACCTTGTTAAAGGGTGCGGGCTCTGCATCACGAACGTTTACGCGCTGCGAGCTCACGCTTCCGTTATTGAGTGTACGCTTGACGCACAAGGGTTGTTGTAACAACAGAGATTTTTGGATCCCAGAATAATGTCAACTTTTTCCTGCCCATTAGATGGATGTTCTTGGTATCGATAACATATGACTTCCTGTCTCCCATGCGGATTGTCCCACAAATTACGCTAACTCTAAGGCCACTCATGTTCTGAGACTTCAAGCTTCAAGTTCGAAAGGCTTGTGCGAAGGTACAGAGCCAGACCAGACGCCTTTGTCAAGCTGCGCCCACCTGCAAACATACACCTCACCTGATATTTACTCTGGAGTCGAGCCACCCAGTGAGGTACGAACCACGAGTGCGCAGTTCCACAGACTGGCTCTTCAGGGAGACCTGCTGACAAACACACATGAGTCGATGACTTGATCTTCCCTGATGTGAGGCGTTATTCCAGAGAACCGAAAAGTTTCAGACTCGTATTAGGGGACGGCAGACTCGACAGGTTGAGGTGTTCGGCTGCTATCGCTGACTATGTAGCACGGTACAAATGAGTAGCTGAGCCTCAAAACAGAGGAAACGAATAAGATAATCGGTGTCTAGGTACCATATTATCATTCGGACCGTTCTCGGTTCCCAGACTCTGCTTAACATCTTCGCTCCAAGTTAATGTTGTAGCCATCACTGAGCAGCATATAATCCTCAACTCACCGCTGCCCGCACCCCCGTTACCGTCTTTGTCTCGTCCTGAGTGTCTCTCCTTCGTTACTCTTGTTGCTGACGTGGCAGTCACACTTCGTTAGGATGTTGTATTATTTGTATCCTAGCATGCAGCACATCAATGAATACAATTATATGATGGATAGTTTTCTACAAGTGCGCGTGTCCGTCTACCGTAAAATAATGCGCGCCTTGAGTTCTAGAGCAGGACGAGAGCAGCCGGAGTTACGGAAGAATGGAATTTAGTGCGATGAAGTGCACATGCGATAAAATGGGGGAGCGTTATGAGTTAGAGGAAGGGGGGGTACTCTGGACAAGGGTAATGAAGCGCATACAGCCACGAAGCCTGCTCATGGCCGTAAAATGGGTCAGAATGTCTTGTTGTAGGTTGAGTAAACTGAGGTTTAGGTGGCGCCTAGGCTATCATCCACACAGCGCGCCATCGAGAGTACTGAACTGTGAGACGGGAAAATCGGCAAGGTGGAGTGGAACGAGTGAGCCGTCAAACTCGCTAGTCACGAGTGCAGTGATATGATTGTGTATCACTGTATAGTATGCTGCGGCCACAGACACAGCTCCGGTACTCCTCTCATATCTGATCGAAGAGCATTAACAAGCGTGTAGGATGGCGTTGGCGTGAATGATATGGTTATCCGAGGCGCTGGTTGCTGCAGTGCATCACGATGTGTGGTGTAATGTTGGGAACCGTGCCGCTGAATTTTGCGTGACATGGCGGCACTGCGATAGGGCTAAATAACTGTTAAAAATTGAATGGCGTGAGTAAAGATGCATACCTTGACAAGTGATACTTCTCGATGTGGCACGGTAGGTATGAGTGAAATCACGATCACGAGTGCCAATGCTCAGTGACGCGCGACGCGCGAATATCAATGCTCTGCGGCGCTCGGTCGTCAAAAGCGCGTCTTCTCCCGTACTTCGAAGGTTATTGCGGCACTTCAAGTTCAGCAGTCGTCCGCAATGTGTCTATTCGTCGTTGTCGTCATCGAATCACAGGTAATAGTATTTCCTGTCAGTATACTGCACTTACTCGCAGAGGGCAGAGATACCGTGACTTTCCGTTACATTTGTGTGACTGCACGAGATGGGGTGTGCACGAACTGGTGGTGAGTAATAGTAGTATGCACGAGGTGGGATTGCAAGATAGGTGAGGAGGAAAAAATCCAGGATGCAGTGGAAATCACCGAAGAAAAAATACGAAGGAGCCTGCTGCCAGGTAGGGGTAATAACTGGTGGGGAGAGACAACGAGGGAGGAGATGTCGACGACGAGGGCGAAGGAGAGCGCTAGATCTTGACGCGGCCGTGCCGCCCGGTCGTGATGCGCTGTTGCGAAAAAATAACTGGCGGCGACGGCATAGCTAGGCTACATGTTGAAGGAGCGGGCGCGGAATTGGCAGCATGCAAAGAAGTGGCAGTATTCATGGGCACAAGGGTTGGAAAAAAGGCAGAAGATGCTGTTTGCAAAGACCGCGAGCTCGACGAGTAGGACAATGAAGACGACAATACATAAAAAAATATTCGTACCTTTCTCCAACAGTTTGCGGGGTCCAACCTTTACTAAATAACGTCAGTCGAATGCTAACATGGTTTCTGAAACATAGAGAGCTGATCTATTTCGGAATGCTAACAGGTCACACATGCATCACTCCTCGGTTCGTGAGCATCACTGGTCCTGAACGACATCCACATACTTAGTCTGAATGTATAATAGTTACATAAGCAGATATATATATATTTCGTGTATAGCAATGACGCATGCCGCAGACGGCAGGAGGAGTTCGGTGAAGGCGGGGAGGGGAGCATAGATATTTTTCGAACTCGTTGAGATGATAGCATGATAGATGTTGGTGGAGCTTGCTGCTGCTGGACGGAGGATGGGAGGCAAAAGGAATAAATGCTAACCATGGGGGTAGAGGCATATACCAGACGATACCTTGAGGCCAATATGTCGGGAGTACTTTGGGGTCTTGAACTCTATGAATGCCGTGAGGGTGTTCGGACTTTTTGTCAGAGGCAATTAAGCTAGCTCGGAGTTATAACAGGGTGCTGCAAACTCGTTGGTGTGGTAGCAGAGGTCGGGTTTTCCCGTTTTGCACTGTATAAGAATTTTTACAACCCACGAGCCTCGAGACGACTGCGGAAGATCTTCTGGAACTGGGGGGCGTGATCCGAGTCCATGAGCGTGTAGTGTTGCCCAGGCACGTCGGTATATGACGGCTCGCCGCGACTGAAGCCAGACCATAGCTTGAGCTGGTTGTTGAGCCAGTCTGATTTGCTGCCACGAAGAGGAATAGCATAGAAAACGTCGACTGCAGCTGAAGGGACCCGGCATTTGAGCAAGCGATAATGAAGTCAGAAAAGGAACGACATACAAACTGCGCCTGATGGGTTGTAGTCTTTTCCGCACTCAATCAGGGACCCGGCGACGTCCACCCAGTGGTCGAGCTTCTCAGCCGTCAGTTGGAGCTCAATGAGACGTTCAGGAGGAGACAGTTTCCACACCACCTCGACCTGCTCCTTCCTCGTCATCTGTCTCAGAACAGGCGCGAGATCATTAGCATCATGCTTCGACACGAGACCGAGGAAGTACGACAAGTTGAGCATACCGCCTGTCCAGTCAATCTCGTGCATTCGGTCGGCGATATGAGGAGGGATGTTGATGAGACCGACGAACTTGACTTCGTCACCCATGGCCTCGATCCGCTTGGCAACCTCAAACGCAACAACACCGCCGTAACTGTAGCCCGCAATGGCGTATGGTCCCGTCGCCTGGGTTCTCTTGACTGCTGCAGCATAGCATGACACCATCTCGTCCATGGAGGTGAAGAAGGGGTGGCCGCGCACAAAACCACGAGCGCGGAGAGCGTAAAAGGGACGCTCGTTCTGGAAGTATCTGGCGAGGTTGACGAAAATAAGAACCTCTCCAACACCAGGGTGAACGAAGAATATTGGCGTTTTGTTTCCCGTCAGCTGGAGGGGAACGATGGGGTCGTACTCCTCAGTCTGGCTGTCCTTGGATAGCAGGGCGTTGACATAGTTGGCGAGGCTCGAAATGACGGGGTACTTGAGGATTTGGATAGCGGGGATTTCAGGCAGGCCGAAATGTGCTTCTCCCTCACGCTTGAGCCTGGAGATAATGTTTTAGTAAGTGTTATTTTAGGGTGGGACAGATATGCTGACCTAATGACATCAATAGAAGTGCCGCCGAGTTCGAAGAGGTTGTGGCTTGCCGACATCTCGCTTTCCGCGAGGTTGAAGATGCCAGCATATATTTTGGCAAGCACCTTCTCCGTCTCAGTGGACGGGGCGACGAATGTAGCGTCGCGTGCCTCACTGAGAAGCTCCTCGGAGCGGTCGATGTGCTTCGCAAGCTGGCCCTGCGTGAAGAGGCTGATCAGACGCGCACGAGACAGCTTACCGAGAGTGGTCTTCTCCATCTGGTTCACAGGGATAGGTATGATGATCTGAGGTGGCAGGGTGATCATCTTCACAGAGATATCCCGCAAGGCCCGGTGCGTGGCGAAGAGCTTGGTAGAGGCATCTGCTCCATCAAGGTCGAAAGTTGGCGAGTAGAAAATAATGAAACCTTCGGTATCCTGGCCAGCAGCGAGGAACGAATGCATGACCCCGTCAGCGGTTTGCAGGTACGTTTCAAGCTCAGTGATACTATATGAGACACCATGGACGATGAGGGTATCCTTGATACGACCGCGAAGGCGCATGACACCATTCTCAATGATACCAACATCGCCGGTGCGGAACCAGCCGCCTTCAACAAAGCTGGAGGACGTGTCCTCGATACTGTTGTAGTAGCGTACGAAGGACCATCGTTCCGCGAACCTGCAGCTCCCCAATCTCCCCGTCGGGGCGCAGGGTGACGCCATCTACGGGATCAACGATGCGCATCTCGCAACCATTGATGGGACGTCCGAGATCAAGGAACTCGTGAGCAGGCTCGCTTGCGAGGACATCCACAGGGTTGTAAATGCATCCGGCGCTGAAAAAAAAGTCAGGTATCTGCAACCATGTGGCACAATCAGCCTTACCAAGTTTCTGTCATTCCAAATCCAGCAGATATCACAAAGGACGAGGAGTTTTTGCTAAACTTTTTCATCATGGCAGCGAACGCTTTCGCGGTCTTGGAAACAACAGCTTCACCTCCACTGTTGATCCGCTTGATTGAGGATAGATCGAAGCAGCCAAAGAGGTCGGTGCGCTTCTCCAGATCACGAGTCAGCTTGGAGAGCAGGAAATTCGGGGCGAATGCCAATTCGATGGACTAAAAATAGAATGATAGTGAGAGATACACTAAGCTAGGGTTGGGTTTTGGCATACCTTTTCATCGATCAGACGGAGTAGCCGAAGGGGATCAGCAAGGATAGCAGATGCGTGCACGTGAAGTTGCGAAGCACCATATAACAGAGGTGTGATGTGCATTTCTAACGATCCCGCGACGTGATCAAATCCGACCCCTGAATGTCACGGCGATCAATGAAAGACTAAAGTTTAAACCACATGCGTCTTACAGTTCAAGACTCGAGATTTGGAAGTCAGGCCGTAGCTTTGGCCCTTGGCACGACATGCAGCAAGGATCGTACGGTGCGTGTGTACGACCACCTTCGAGAATCCAGTTGACCCTGAGGTCAGGAACAAGATCGCCTCCTCGTCAGGCTTAGCCTCGTATGCAACCCAGTCTGCTGTAACAGTAAATTTCTCCGCTGACCTCTTTAATTCGGAGAGCAGATGAACATCCAGACCAGAAATGGTGCTGATCTGCTCAGCCCCTAGTTCGCTGGTCAACCAAGTAGCAGACCCAAACAAGTTCTTGATGTGGGTGACATGGCCCTCCTTGTGCGCTTGTTGCGCACTAAGTGCGGGCTGTAAGCAGGGCACGTAACCAGCCAGCAGACATGCCCATACAGTAGTCATATTGTCTTCGTGCTCCGTCAGGTACACGACAACGACTGAGCCTGTAGGTTTGCCCCATTCTTGCATGGCACATGCAAGATTGCGAACATGTTGGTTGAACGTGCTGAAGGTCTTCGTCTGAATGGAGGAGTCATGTGCCGAGGAGGTTATGAAACCAAGCTCGTGGAACGGATAGCGGTCGACAGCTTGAGCGATGACATCATGAAGAGTATTGGGTTGTTGAGAGACAACAGAGGTCTTAAGGTTTGTAACGAATTCAGTGTTTGTGTTAGGGACGACTGCGACGGGTGCCATTGCGAGATGTCTAGGTTCTCAAACAGTACGGGGGTAGGGAAAACTATTTTGGAGACCCGAGCATTATATACTATGAAGCATGTGAAGGTTTGTGTTCTACGTAAGTACTAGTGCCAAGCAAAGATGATCTTCTCGCTAGTGACTAACTCGCTACCAGCTTGCTTGAACGCCCATATGGTGCGCGCGCCGCCTAGTACTTTTGGACAGTGGCCAAATATACCTCGAACTAGCTTAGAATCTAAGAGCTACTTGGTGTAACAAATACAATTCCAAGTCAAGGTATGACCATGCATTCCCGAGGCAGTCAGCAACACTAAAATTTTAATTATTTACCATACATAGTAGTTCCCACGCCACCTGGCCAATCTTAGATTGGCAAGAAATTCATATCTCCCTGGTAGATTAACTAATTTGGTCATTTTCGAAGCGAGCCGAGTTCACATCGAGTTTACACCAAACAGAGGCGCTGAGCGGCTCATGCTAGCTACTTTTTACGGTAAGTCATCAACCTTGTGGGGCTTTGCGGGGCGGTACAAATGCTATGATGAGACCTTGGAATCACGGCCCGCACGCACTGATCTGCCACCAGCCGCACAAGGTGATGGTGGTACTATGCTACTAGTACGTAGGTGACCTTCATGGTCAAGTAACGAAGCCCTCACCGTGCAAGACACTACAATGTTGTCAAAGGTAAGTCATGCTTGTCATCAGATGAGGCTAAACGTATATATATGTCGACAATTTCCGTACATGATGATGACGGTCGCCAGTCGTTGTAGTAGTACTCCCCAAGTAATGATGACTTACAAAAGTAGCTAGCCGCATGAAGCGCCTTTGTTTGGTGTCGCTCCAATAATAAATAAAAGCGGCTAAGTGAATTTTCTAGATTCTGGCCTATCGATATGAAGATAGCTGTAACTCGACAGCAACACCACGCGGTTGATAGCACTAGTACTGAATAGTTTTAGTGGCGCATCGAGAAGACTGGTGAGCCGCCATATATGCGAAATATATGGAGCTGCGAGATGTTGCTGGGGTAGCACTTGAGCCGAGAAAGGTTTTTGTTTATTGTAGTCTTCCAGGTCCTTTGTGAAGTACGGAATGGTTCGGTGCAGGTTCGGTGTTCATTGATGTTATTCGAGGCAAGTCTGGCAACCGAGCAAGCTCGGAGTCATAACAGGGTACTCAACACTTAACATATATAGAAAACGTTTTTGTTATATTGGAATATAACGTTGGAAAACCATGGCGATCAACGTAAAGCACCCTCAGTAACACCTCGGGGGAAGACTCACGAATTCTCTGATGCGGCGGCCGGCCGGGAAGGACTTAGCGTATTACGGGAACGGTCACTTTCTCAATGCTATTACCGGGAGACGGTCACCTTGAAAAGGATGCAGAATGCTGCAGTAGCATAAATTACATCCCATTATGATGGAGGGTGCTGCTATACACAATGACTCTACATCGGCGTCGGGAGACGTAACATCTCAGACCGCACGAATGCCAACAGTAGACACCAGCCTTTACGGTTTGTCTTCCGAAGAAGCTGCGTTCTTCAAGGCGCAAATCGGTATCGACGACGATGAAGACTTGAAGAGGCATATCCTGGAGGTGCAGACCAAAGCATACAAGGTGGGTTAATTGCAGAGACCTCACCATAAGTTGAATAACCATCTGCTGTTAAAAGATTGCACCATATCCTTGTATCCACAGATATAACTTTCTTCGGTACGTGAGCTATAGATCTATGTATCCGAGTCAACACATAACAAGGGGACCATGCTCAGCATGAACATGTCGAGGTACCCTGTGTATGAGCACATCCTCAAACTTGGTCGCGAACGCTCGGATGCCGTGTTACTCGACCTTGGCTGTTGTTGTACGTCAAATCATGATCTTCTTTGTTCGGTAAGCTTGACTTCATTTCAGTCGGTGTTGACGCCAGAAAGGCTGCGGCGGATGGTTTTCCTGCGAAAAATATCATTGCATCTGATATCAAAAACGGTAATTCATTTCATCTGTGAATGAGTCAATCTTGTTAACGATGCTGCGTACACAGAATTCCTCGAGCTTAGCCACGAACTTTTCAGAACGACACCAACTTCTTACCCGGGATGCCTCCTTCCTGGAGATGTTTTCGATCCTGCATTTCTTTCGATAGCTGCGCGACCGAACGACATCTGTTCAGCCCTGGCTATTGATTTGTCCTCGTTGAAATCCCTCAATCCCCTTCACGGCCGCATAAGCGCAATCAATGCTACAAGCCTTTTCCATATCTTCACTGAGGACAAACAATTGCATCTTGCCAGGGCTCTCGCGGGTCTGTTATCTGCGCAGCCAGGTTCCGTTATTTGCGGTTCTCAGGTCGGAAGTCTCGAAAAAGGCATGGCAGCCACTGTATGGGGCCCTGAGCATCGGTTGTTCGTTCATTCTCCCAAAAGTTGGACATCTTTGTGGGATGGAGAGGTATTCGAGAAGGGCAGTGTAAAGGTAGAAACGGAGTTGGTAAAACATGTGATTCGCGGGGTGGAATTCTTCACGATGGGGTGGTCAGTGGTGAGATTGTAGTACTAGGAAGTGCATGTATAACGATGCTAGAGGAGATTGTCAATCTGTTCGTAGCTTAGTAATGTTCATCCAACTGGAAACCCACCAGGGTAATGGCGAGAAATACTGAACGAATCAGACGTTAACGTGGATTTCAGAGCGTGATACAAATGGGCAAGATAGTGGTATGTAAGAGACCCGAGTCAGATCTCAGTAAGACCGGATTGCCCACGTGACTGTTGGTGTTGTAAGGGCATCTGGAGATGGCTTTCACTTGGCAACGCAGCCGAATCACAAGAACAAGGGTATCAACAAAGACTTGCAGTCAATTTTCATATTTCACGTGGTAAATAACTTTGGTAGATATATTGCCAAGGCGCATGCGAGAAGTGTGTTGAACAAGCACATTCTCGAGTGTCGTTAAGTGGAAGAGAAGGCCCGCTTTGTCTGTTCTTTCGTTGTTATATACCCTTGACATAATGCTTGTAAACGTATATTTGCGACAGTGGCAGAGGTCTTGTAGGCGGTTTTTGCGCGTACCTTGTTTGCACCACGGTCCACGACAACGGTGGTAACAGGTCACCACACACTCCCTTGAAAAGGATGGAGACTGCTGCGGGAGCAAAAATTACATCCCATCATGATGGAGGGTACTGCTATACACAATGACTCTACAACGGTGTTGGGAGATGTAACATTTCAGACCGCACCAATGCCAACACTAGACCCTGACCTTTACAGATTGTCTTCCGAAGAAGCTGCGTTCTTCAAGGCGCAAATCGGTATCGACGACGACGAAGACTTGAAAAGGCATATCCTGGAGGTGCAGGCGAAAGCATACAAGGTGGGTTACTTGCAGAGGACCTCATCATAAGTTGAATAACCGTCTGCTGTTAAAAGATTGTACCATATCCTTGTATTCACGAATTTTACTTTCTTCGGTACGTGAGCTATAGATCTATGGCATCCGAGTCAACAATAACAAGGAGCACCGTGCTCAGCATTAACATATCGAGTTACCCTGTATATGAACACATCCTCAAGCTTGGTCGCGAGCGCTCCGATGCCGTGTTACTCGACCTCGGCTGTTGTTGTACGTCGAATCATGATCTTCTTTGTTGGGTAAGCTTGACTCCATTTTAGTCGGTGTTGACGCCAGAAAGGCTGCGGCGGATGGTTTTCCTGCGAAAAATATCATTGCATCTGATATCAACAACGGTAATTCATTTCATCTGTGAATGAGTCATTCTTGTTAACGATGCATGCGTACACAGAATTCCTCGAACTTAGCCACGAACTTTTCAGAACGACACCAACTTCTTACGCGGCATGCCTCCTTCCCGGAGATGTTTTCGATCCTGCATTTCTTTCGATAGCTGCGCGACCGAACGACGTCTCTTCAGCCCTGGCTATTGATTTGTCCTCGTTGAAATCCCTCAATCCCCTGCACGGCCGCATAAGTGCAATCAATGTTGCTAGGTTTTTCCATCTCTTTACTGAGGACAAACAATTGCATCTTGCCAGGGCTCTCGCGGGTCTGTTATCTGCGCAGCCAGGTTCTGTTATTTGCGGTTTTCATATTGGAAGTCCCGAAAAAGGCATGGCAGCTACTGTGTTGGGCCCTGAGCATCGGTTGTTTGCTCATTCTCCCAAAAGTTGGACATCTTTGTGGGATGGAGAGGTATTCGAGAAGGGCAGTGTAAAGGTAGAAACAGAGTTGGTAAAACTTGTGACTCGCGGGGTGGAACGCTTCATGATGGGGTGGTCAGTGGTGAGATTGTAGTGAGGAAATGTACGTACGACAATGCTAGAGGAAATTGTCAATAATCTAGTCATAGCTCAGTAAGGTTCATCCAACCACCAAGAACCTCGAAGGGAATCGACAAATTTCAATATCTGCATTGGTCCTGGATTTCCATGTAGTGAATGTATTGGATAGTCCCGCTCAGCGGCTCAGGCTGTTTCACGCACATGGCCATAGTATGAGATAAACTGAGTCTACTCCACACCTTAATCAGACTGGAGTTGGATTACTAAATAAGGGAATATTGCCAAGCCCTTACCGCAGACTGCGGCACAACACACTCAGGTTCAGGTTGTTCTTCCAAGTTCCTCGGAGGGATCCACAACATTCGAGACGGACCATCGTCCCCGAGTCAACATCAGGCTGTAATTATATTGATAACAATAGTTGTTTCTTTCTCATTGCCAGGTTTACAAAAGCCCGACAGCTAAATACAAATCCTACTTCATCGATGAATCATTCGCGTTAACTAAACAGCGTCCTCTATAAAAATAGGTTCTACATTCTTCCAAGGCTGTCTACCCCCCTTCTCCCACACCCTCTCTCTCTCCATCCAATACTCTAACCTATCCCCAGCCCTCGACGGCGCCCACACCCTCTCCCCAGTATCCCCATCCGTCTCCGCCCTAAACCACCTGGGTCGATGCGGCGGCGCGCGCCCCTCCTCCCTTGCACGCCGCGTGGCCCGCTGCCGCTCCTCTTGTTGCATCTTCAACCCATTCGCAAACTCATACTTCCCCATCTCAAACGCCCGTTGATCAGGTCGCAGCCGGCAGTCTGTCGGGCACAAGTATGGCCTTAGCGTTTTGTCGGGGCAGTCATTCAGCGTGATGGCGAACGGCGTGAGGTTGAAAGGTGTGGTAGGCTTTTCGGAGTTACGCCAGAGGAGAATGTACTCTGCGGCGTAGTTTGGCGAAGAGGGTCCGCTTACAGTAGCGTCAGGGTGTAGGAACCCGCTGCCTGTGCCGACGGCGCGACATATGAGCTGGCTGTTCCACCGTCCAGCCACCTCGTGTGTTACTTCTCCGTCCGCGTCTCGCACGACACCAGAGATCTCGTATGCGTCTTTACCCCGCCATCCTCTCGGCTTGAACGTCAGCACACACTGGTCGCCAGTGCGATGATTCGTTACCTGTCGCAATGTGGTTTCAGTTTTGAAGCATGAAGAGGAAGAAAGACTTCACTTACAATCATGTCTCCATAGTGATCGATAGTGGGAGAGCCTAAGATGAACCCGGAGACGTTGGTAGTGACTTTCTTCCACGAGAAGTGCTCGACAACCTTGCCCTGGATGCCAGCAGCAGTACACTTAGGGTAGTCGGGCGCCCATTCTTCAGGAAGAAGAAGTTCAGCATGCGCAACGCCAGTAGGACGAATTTCGAATGATTTCCCCATAAATTTATTTTGTGCGTCGACCTGGTGTGAACAGGTCAGCAGACAAATCATGCGACATAATGACGTATCAAACCTCTCCATAATAATGCCAATACGGCGATTCTGCCCAACAAGCGGAGATAGGGGGATGATGGCTGACTTGTTCAGATATGTAGCGATACTCCTTGTCGAGTCTGACGTATTCGAATGTTTCGCTCTGAACGGATTGAGCATTTGCCTACAAGAAAGGCATGAAGGGTACCTACGAGCATCGGATTAAATGGTTTAGCTATACGGCCGATGGTCGATGAATAATTTGACATTGCGAATGCGGCCACAAATGCTAACCGCCGGTGCGGGTCCCGCTCGCGAGCAGCGATATCGACTATCAACCGATGGGTTACTACGACCAGCGATCACATAAATGAGACACTTACGACACTCCGAGAACTCCATGTCCTCTGCCTTCACTCAAAATAAGACGGCGTGCACACCATTAGCCAAAGAAAACTCACCATCCGCTGCAACATACTTGTCGGCTCGTTAAACATGACGGGGAAACTAATCCTCGTCAAATCCTTTCCAATACTATGCTTCAACACAGACCACAGACTCGTGCTGGGCCTGTTATCCGACCCGATAGGTAACCGCGCCCTCAAATTTTTATAACCTGCAAAATGTTCGCCGTTCATGAAGGACAACGCAGGTACCGCGTGCATCGGGCTCGACAGCAGTTGACTGACGACGAGATTGGGGAGGGCATTGGCCTCGATGGCATCGAAGAACTCATCTTCCTCGTCCGTGTCGATGGCGTCTTCATCCTCCTGATCGTGCCGCGGCATACACTGTGCAGTCGGCGTGACCCCCGCACTTGCGGGTGACGATGGCACAGTCGACGTGGACAGGCCGTCGACTTCACCAGGCGGGGAGACGTCGATGGTGATTGGTGCAGGGCGCACCGGGGGCGAGATATAGGGTTCTTCAAGCACAGGTGATACAAGCGCCATGGTCATAGGGCGCTGCCGGAGGGTGCCGCCGCCTATATCGTTTATACCGACATCGAAGAATCTGCTACCTCGTTTCCGAGACCGTATTCGCAGCTCTCGTTCTAGTACCTCGCCTTCTCGTACGACAGTTTGTAAGCTCTCTTCCCATACAGTCTGTCTCTCACGCTCACGCTGTAGTTGAGATTTCCACCACTCCTCACGGTCCTTGGCCATCTGGACATACTCGTCTATCATCGTTTGTACGATCGCGAACGATTCCTTGAGCGCCGTACGGAGTTCTTGCGTCCTGGGCGCTGCATCTGGCGGCAGTGCGAGGTTAGACAGAAGCTGGGCGGTGAGTTCCATCTGTGCTGCGGCCGAGTTTCCTTGTAGGTCGAAAGTCCCATTGTGAGGAGGCGACTGTGTGAGGACCGAGGCCGAAGAATTATCATTGTGCTCTTCATTGTCCGAGGTAGAACGGCTTTTAGCTGCCTTGCTCGTCTCAGGAGGTGGCCCATCCTCCATGCTCTCATCTGCTATGCCTATAAAGGAGCTTTGTGACCCCCCGCGGCGGGTACCCACATCCATTCGCCGCATTGACATCGCCGACTGGAAGCTCGAGCGAACACTCTTGGGCTTCAAAGCGTTCAGATCGCTCTCCCCGCTCTTGCGCAGCAATTGCTCATCGCGCCGCGCCCATTCTATGCTCTTCCCAAGCGCCTGCGTCCACCCGGCGGCCTCAACGTGATGGTTAGCACGCATGTACCATTTTTGCCCAGTGGCATGTCCTCGAGATGGGGTCGAATGGATCTCAAACCGCGTCTTGTCGCCGCCAGGCGAGAGTTTGAGGATTGCAGTTTTCATGGCGATGGCACCGCGGCTAGCTATATCTTCGTCTTCTTGATGCCGGTAATCTGTAGGAGGTTGAGCGCCGTAATTAAACAAAAGGGGGCGAAAGATGACGAACATGTAAATACACCATCTTTTAGAACAAACCACCTAGTATTATAGCCCTTAGCAACATTGGTGTATTTATTGAGATAACCTTTCATGACCGGAGGTTCCGAAGACGGGACCTCGATGAGAGACGCATCGTGGTTTGCGACTGTCGTTGTTTTGAGTACAGTGGGTAAGGGAGCGCGTAAGGAGAACGTACATTGTCGCAAGAATACCCGTACGTGATCATCTTTTCCCGTGCCCTCGTACGCCATTTTCCCCCTGCGGTCTCGCACGAAAACGCTCGCCCCCGCCCGTACGGCTAGTTCAACGAGGCGCAGGTTTTTGCGCCTGGCTGCCTCATGTAGCAGAGAAGTACCAGATGCATCATCCAAGTACGACAAATCCACTCCACGTGCCCGTGGTGATTCCAGTAGAGTCACCAATGCAGTATTCGGGGATGCATCCATGGGGGATAAAATATACGAGCGTAGAAGGGACCTGTATGAGGCATTCAAAAAGGAACGCGAATCTAGGGGTGGCGTTGGTGAAGAGGGCACAAAAACAGAGAGGGAATACGCACCTTGTAATATTTGGATAACTTCTTTTACCTTTGCCACATCCTTGCATGTTTTTCCGTTGTTATCACGGAGGGTGTCGTCAATACCAGCCTGGTCGAGCAATACACCTACGATGTCTGCACGACCGAGGAATGCTGCAAGATGCAGAGGGGTGGTCCCAGAGCCTGGTGGGTGCACACCATTGGGTGATATGGCTCTGTGACATAGGAGTAGCTGTACAGTATCGACTTTGGGTGCGGGTGAGGGAAGGTGGGAGTAGCAAGCAAAATCAATGACCTACCGGAAGCGCAGCGAATAGCAAGGTGGAGGGCAGCAGCTCCAGTGTTAATGTCTCCATCAACAGACTTTCGTCTTTCCTTGCCGATTTCAGCGAGAAATGGATGTATGAGAGCAGGATCGCCTGGAGAGGAGGGTTTGCTATGAGGTGGGAGAAGAGAGAGGTGGTTTCTTACCACTCCGAAGCGCCGACAGCAGTTTGAGTTGGTGAAGGGGTTCTGTGGTATCTACCGTTCATAAATTACTGAATCCAAGGCCAAGAAACTGACGAACTCACCGGACCTGAGACTACGGATCGAGAGGGAGGAGCTCATCATATGTCTACCGCAAATCCGCGGCCGTAAATCCAAAGTCCAGGATAGTTTGGTGCGAGCAGTTTTTGCGTAAAATGAAGGGGAAAGCAGTTAAGAAGGAGAAAGCGAGTTAGATGTATTCAAGAAAGTCACCAAGTACTGCTGCAGCTTCCTCCCCATGCAATTTCAGAAGCATCGAGTCACGTGTCACCGGCATGCTTCCGCTTGCAGCTGTGTTGCTGGCCTGCCACGTACGATTTCAGCGCTCAGCACTGACCATGCTAACTAGTAAGCGCTACACAGGCTAGCACTCACGCTCGTCTTTTCCACAGCTACAAAGCGCTGATAAGACTTAAGGATACCTTCTTCGACACTGTCAATCCTTGACATCGTGACTCCAATCAGCCGCATGATCATGCACATGCTTAAGCTATTATTCCCATGATTATTTTCGCAATCTTTGTCACCGCTATCGCTGTCCAACAGTCAATATCTCCCCGACTGAGATACCAGGGGCCTATATAAAGCATAATTTTAAAGTGGGTCCCTTCCCAGTCACCTTCCGTTCATCCGTTCACGCCATAATCATGAGTAGTTTCTCTTCTCCAGACAAGGAGAAAGCCTCTGAGGGTGATATTGGTTCGGCGGAGCGCGCAAGTAGCATTAATGACAGCTATACACCACCACCAGACTTCAGACTTCACCGAGAGCTTAAAAATCGACATGTTGCAATGATAAGGTACTTATCTGTTAACATTTCTGATCGAAAAGACCGAGTCACATTACTTTTTTTTCAGCATTGGCGGCGTGATTGGCACAGGACTGTTCCTCGGGACTGCATCAGCACTCATGAATGGCGGTCCTCTGGGCCTTTTATTAGGCTACATATTCATTGGGTCTATATGTTACTGTGTGATGGTCAGTCAAGTGTACATTTCCTGACTTTATTCTTCATTGCTTTGTTACTAGGTCACAATCGGAGAGATGATCTCCTACCTCCCAGTTGCCGGCGGCCATATCAAACTCGCCGAGCGCTTCGTTGATCCGGCATTCTCATTTGCGTTGGGATGGAATCTATGGTACAATTGGACGGTAATGTGACCCCCTGCTTGATGTTTCAAGTTTCTGAACGTTACTATCCCATCAGGTGACATTACCAGGTACAGTCGCCGAATCGTCTCGCAATGAACGTCGTTCATTATGTCCAAGCCGAGTTGTCCGCGGCCGCTACCATCATCAATTTCTGGCATCCTGGTGTAAACAACGCGGTATGGATAACAATGTGTCTCGTTGTTGCCATCGGGATTAACATGAGTGGCGTTGGTAAATGTTCACGCGATTTACTTTCTCTTCTGGCTCAATTTTTGCTGCAGGTGTGTATGGTGAAACCGAATTCATGTTCGCGTAGGGCTATCTTCCCCCGAAGTTCTTTTCTTTGTCTGACGCTAGGGGCAAACCAGCTCCATCAAGGTTGTCACGATTGTCGGTCTCATCATCTTGGGGATTGTCCTTGACCTTGGTGGTGGCCCGAACCATGATCGTATTGGATTTCGCTACTGGAAGGACCCTGGCCCGTTTGTCCAATTTTATGGCATAAGTGGCATGACAGGCCGTTTTCTAGGCTGGTCTCGTGTAGTAACACAAGCTGCATTCGCATATGCTGGGTCAGAAGTTGTGGCTGTGAGTCGTAACGACCTTCCTTGGACCTTTTGAAGTTGAAACACGCCAGATGGCGGCTGCAGAAGCCAAGAACCCGCGTAGGAATCTCCCCAAAGCCATTCGTCGTGTTTACATACGGCTCCTGCTATTTTATATTGGCGGCGTCTTCGTTATCGGTCTACTGGTACCTTCGAACAACCCCTTACTGAACGTAAATTCTGATAATGCCTCTGCGTCTCCGTTTGTAATTGCAATTAACCAAGCTGGCATCAAAGGATTGCCCGCGGTAAGTGTGGTGTTATACAATAATGCACTTCTCATGCCCCTGTAGGTGATTAACGCCGCCTTACTGACATCAGCCTGGTCCGCGGCTTCCAGTGACCTTTACATTGCTTCCAGAGGCCTATGTAAGCTTCTATCTAGGTCTACGGGACTCCATCCGATTCAATCTGCTTGTAGATGGCCTCGCCGCCTCTGGTAATGCCCCAAAAGTATTCCTACGTACCTCGCGGTCCGGACTTCCCTATGTCGCAGTAGCCACGTGTGCTTCTTTCTCCCTCCTCGCCTACATGGCTGTCAGCACGAGCTCCGGAATGGTCTTCACGTGGTTCTCTAGCATGTGTGCCACTGCGGGCCTCACAACCTGGTTCGGCATCGGTGTCATATATCTGCGCTTCCGCAAAGGCTTCCTCACACAGGGACACAAGATCATCGAGCTCCCGTACTCCTCTCGGCTTCAGCCCTTCGCCGCCTGGTGGGCCGTCTGTGCATCGCTTGTGACGCTGTTGGTGAGTCTAGCTTCCGCATGTGCGATATAATGAAGCGATTCTTGGGCTTATGACATCCAGTTCAGTGCATGGGAAGTCTTCCTGAGAGATAACTGGTCAACAGCAACGTTCATGACCAATTATCTGCCCGTGATGCTTTTCCCTGTTTTATATACCATCGCCAAAATCTGGAAGCGAGCCCCTCTAGTCAAACCAGACGAGATGGACTTCCATTCTGGCATTGCGGAAATCGAGGCAATGACGTAGGATTCTTTTATTTGCTTGTGAATATGAGCCAGGCTGAGATGCTTATCATAGGTATGCAGACGTGCGCCCAAGGAATATCGTAGAGGCATTTTGGATGTGGCTTGTGAGTTCTCTTTCTGTGATGGAGGTCGCTGGTTGATTTGCTCATCCTTCCGATAAGATGTAATGATTGCGTTCCTCGTTGACCGATGTTGTATTAAAAGCGAGCTTTTCCTATGTCATAAGCGCCTGCTTGTCAGCATTTTGATGGGGTCGTCATTCCTTTGTCCCCAGTAGCTAAGACCCTTGTTGTGGCTACAGCAATGTCTGCCTGATTCTGTGACTGCGCCACATCGCATTGTCACTTGTTGCAGTATGACTCTCATTAGCACGAGAACTCGGCACGTGGAGACTGTCCGACATTTCGCCACTCCAAGTGACTTACTAGGTCAGACAGCGTGGCCCATGTCTCTTCGACTCACCTACAGGGCGGTTTCATAAAACATATAATCTCATTACGGACATACCCGCAGGTGCCCCAACACTTGTGGTACACGTTGTTTCGGGAACATCCACCGGTACACGCACCATCAAATGCTTTGATTCGCGAGATTGCAATAATCACGTCGAACGCAGACGATGTCTGTTAGTAGTGCGAGGGAATAAACATTAGAATATGGACTGCAGAAGAGGACATGCCGCAGGTCAACGGGATCGTCCAACAGTAATAAGCCCGAGATGCCTGCCACGATGTATCTACTGACCATAAGCAGATCCGTGTATGAATCTGGGTTCTGGAGATGAAAGACGAGCTGGAATTCAGTGTTCATCAGACTGCGAGAACATTCTCAGTTGAATCAGGTAACACCCAGTAGACTGCACTCCTAGCAAGGCATCTCGAGCTCTCCGCTCCGCAGTCCGAGTCCAACTACCATGTTCAATACAGTGGGCCTTCGTTTGTCGAGAGTCGAAAAAAATCACTTCTACCCCCAGAAAAACCTTGCAAGCAAGGTAATATGAATGTAATATGTTTTGAACTTAGCATGGGCAATGGGCATTGTGCACCGGATTCCTTCAAAATGTTGCCTTGTTGCATTGAAAATGTTCGCGTGTTTTACATAAAATAAGGACACCCCTTTGGTCGGCTCTTCGACGATATATACTGTATTTACAGTAGCAACTTAGGAAATACAATATTAGTACAGCCTTGTCCCTCCTTCGCCTCTGCAAATAGACACATCGTGTCTCTTCGCGTTCTCACCCCTGGACAACGCCGTGTACAATTGACCGTGAGCAGAGAGATCCATTCGAAGGTCGAGCACAGTTCGTGTTAGCGTTAAACCTTGACAACCATCAAACATCGCTGCATATGCGGGTTGCAAAGGTAACTGTCTTCGATTTACTGTCCACGACGAACGGTTTGGGTGGAACGCAAAGTTGATGCGGGGGATACAGTGGCGTTCGAATGTATTGATGAGTTGGACTTCGGCGAACCAACGATGCAGAGCAACCACGCGCGTTTGAAAGTTTCTCACTAATCCTTTTTCTACCGAGAGGTTTCGTTGAATGACGCAAATGCAGTTCTATTTGAGATCCAGGCGATGAGGAAGCAATGCAGGATGATGGGTCAACATCGCAAGGTAGTCAGACGTGTGTTCTGGTGCGTTCAATGGAGTGTGATCCGCTTCTTTCAGGCTGTCTGAACTAAAATAAAATTCTATGTTGTCTCGTGAGCAGAATGTGCCATCGGTGTCCGTTTGCGATACTTACGAAAATTGCTCGGCAACTTGTCCAGAACTTTGTCGTTGAATTCATCGACATAGAGATTGAGAGGGGAAAGGAATACACGACGAACACAAGTTTCAGCGTCTTCGAGAACATGAGGAAGTCAATGGTGTCGTCGAAGTGTGTCGTAAATCCCGAGATTCTGTAGATTTCCGGAGCAGTCTTCTCCAATGCGATCCACGGAAGCCGTGAACTACGAGTCACCCATGCCGCAATTTGCAGTAATATCAAATACATGTTCCGGCTCGACTGAAAAGGTACTGCGCGAAACTCCATCTACTATGATGACCGTTGGAATCTTTAGGGGCGAGCGCCGTCAGGAAGGAGTTATAGATAGTAAAAATAGGAGAAGTCACGTATATCGTTGGCAAAGAGGTGAAGGGAATGCGCAGATTTGCCTTCATCGTCAATGATCATGATGGGACCGATAGTCCATCTTAGGCAGAAGCAGTATTGGCTAGGCTCGTAAAGACGCGCGCAGGCAGTTGGCATCAAATGTGAACATTAAAGTAACCACAATGATAATGGTGGACGCAATTGCACCCGATGCCGGCGGTTAAACGTGCATTTACATAACGTCATTCTGGCCGGCTCTTCCTCTGCTGCGTCCATCCTAAATCTGTGTTATGTCCAAACATAATTGGGTTCTTTGGCCAGTGCCAACCACTATGCTTTCGAGCTGGCTCTACCACATGGTTGGTTCCGAAGAAGCAATTTGCGTGACTCCCATGATGTGCGAGCTCCACCTGTGACCTGAGCCTCGACCACTCCCTGTTATTGTGTGCTTGGCAGTCAGCCGCCTGCGCGCCGTGCGCTAACTGTGCTTTCCTCAGTGTCTGGACCCCAGTCTTTGCAATGTGGAAATCCAACCACTTAGTAAGACCGTCTAGACAAATTCGAAGCCCCAAGACAACGACGGTAGTGAGTCTGTCTGAGTCCAACTCGGAGCAACCCTTACCCACTTGGACATGAAACCGATCGGCAGCGGAAGAATACTGCATTCGGTCATCATCTTCGGCAGTGTACTTCCTGGTGAAAAGGCGTCCGTTTGACGTCGAACGCACTGAGCGATTAATCGAAAATTCTCATACCGGAGCTCAGGTCCGAGTGGCCTCTCTATCTGGCTGGGCCGCCAATCCCAAACAAGTTTCGTTTGCGACCCGTTTCAAATCACACTTACAAGGCATACAGTGGCCGGGAGCCGTCTAAACGGGCTGGCCAAAGAACGAGGCCAAGGGAGTCACGCCCTAGAGTGCACTTCATAGAGAATGAATGAATACTATCAACTGCGGATTGCCACACACATGGCACTACTTGGGCATCTTTTAATGGTCAGTCTTATTATGTGTCGAGCAGGTAAACAGCACATAGATGATCGCAGTGACACCAGAGTCTAGTTTCGTCTCTGCACGGACAAAATTTTCAGTGCGGTTCGGAAATGGCCGACGGGCCCCGAGTAAATTTAGGGTCCAGCTCATGCTATAGGCTGACCGGATTTGGGAGTTGAAGCTTCCTCCCCCCCAACATCAACCACCAACCAGTAATCCACCCTGCTGGTGGGTCACGAGTACCGAATGGAGCTGACCAGGTATAAACTTGGTTGCAGTAGTGCAGGGACCCTTTACTCCCACTAGGTTGCATCCTCCTAAACAGAACGAGATGAACGGTGCGGTAGGTGTAGGGGTAGCCCCCTGATAAGGACTTTTGCAATTTCGAAACCACTGTCACTCGCCCTTCTAGCGTCCCTCAAGCCCTAGTCAACAGATCCTTATACTAGGAGACGGGTGCCTGCAGTAGGCGCCAAGGACGTGGTCTGCCTCGCGACGTTCAACTGGACGCTCTGGCTTCGGCTTCGCGTTGTAGCCAGTCACTGACGTAACTCTCAAATATTCACAACCCCTAAACCCTCTCATACTCCGATGTCATCTCCGGATATCGCATTTTCGATTCACGCGTGCCACTGAGCCAATCCATTGTTCATCCGAAGGTTGGACTTCCTTTCGCCAGCGATACAACCCTGAGCGAATCATTTCAATGCTACACACACGTCAATGTTTCAATATTTATACATGAGATTTTCAGTCTAAGGATGACAATCTGACTCCCTATTCCAATGGCGGAAATTCCTTTCGGAACTTTGTTATGGGTAGCTGCGAGACCTCTTCTCCGACTGTGAGTTTCGTTTCCTTCCTTTTCATGTCGTTCTAAACGTTTACCTAGTTTCATATGTGTCGCTTGTGGGTACGGCATTACATGGGCTGGTTTTTTTTCCTGCGATTGCGACTCGTGGCGCTGTGCAAGTAGTTTTGGTTAGTATATCCCATTTCCTGGAAGAATGGAACTGATAAACAGGACCCAGAACATTACTTTACCTAGCTTAATATTCTCGAGGGCTTCATCTGCATTAAATGCAGAGAATGATGCAGCTTTTGGTTCGTTGTCTTCCTGAAATGTATTGCTATCACGCAATTAACGTACATGCACACAATCTCTTTAGGACCGCTGATAGTGATTGCAACCATCTACATGGCAATAGGCTTCGCATTATCCCTATTTATCAAGCGATTTTTCTGGGTTCCATATCGGTTTCGGTACGGTATCTTTGTTGCCGGGGGTTGGGCGAGCAGTTGTGACATAAGTAGGTCACATGTTTCTTACATCGTGTCATTCGCTGACTGTGGCACCTCATAGCAATTTCGGTCATGACGGACATAATGGTCTCTCTCCCTTTCGACGGAGTCCACGACCAAGACCTCGCGGGTAACATACGTCAGCGCCTTTTGTGTCATCTTCTACGTGAGTTTTGCACGGCCTTTGTTGTATAACGCTGAATTGCGCCATAAGCTGACTATGTTTACGTGCGGACGCAACTTAATTGAGCGTGATTTTATTGGGCCCGATACAGATGGCGGGGAAGTACATGGACCATGCCAGCCCAAACGTTGGAAGCTACTCATGGTTTTTTTACGCCGGGCGAAAATTGTTTCCTCTTCCACAGCTGGGGGAAAATATGACCTAGAGAGGGATGCCTACGATGACCAAATGTCTAGCAAAGATCTCTCCCTGCAACTGTCATCGTTGGAACATTCGCAGGCAGTTTCCCCATTAGCGTCGTCAACAATTGTCCAACATAACATACTGTCGGGCCAATGCGATGAAACGCAATTGTCTATAGATGTAGAACCACACATCGTACTAGCATCTACAGAGAACTCCTCTCCAAACCAACCCCACCCTGCCATGCGATACGTGAACTTCCTTGGCAGTCTTTCATCCCCTGTCTTGTTGTCTGTGGTGGTCTCGCTCATTGTCTCTAGAATATCGGCTGTGAAGGCATTGTTTATCCCTAATGTACCAGGGACGAACATTCCACCAGCTCCTGATGGACAACCCCCACTAGCATTCGTAATGGATACAGCGACTTTCTTGGGAGCAGCCAATTCTCCCATTGGACTGGTTGTTCTCGGATCTGCACTCGCGAGAATGAGTGTCCCTCGCGGACGCTGGACTTCACTACCCCTTGGAGCCATCGTAGCTCTTGCTGTCAGCAAACAGCTCATCATGCCACTCCTCGGAATTCTCATCTGCGAAGAATTTACTCGGATAGGATTCATTGACGCTGAAGATAAAGTGCTCAGATTTGTATGCATGTTCGTCTGAATTGCTATGCGCTGCATCTGCTTTCGGCTGACTAGGCTGTCCTGTCATATCACAGCTTCGTATCATGTTTACCCATAGCATCGACCCAAGTGAGATATTACCCCTGCAAACTGCCTCTTTTGTGTGCTGAGGAATTATTTGCAGGTGATCCTGACGCAAGCATGCTCTGGCGCAAATACAACAGATCATCTTGCTGCATTCCTGTTTCCCCAGTTGATTCTTATGTCCGGGGTGATGACCGTATTGATGGCCTTTACACTCGACCTTCTCTTTGGCTAGCTGGCCACTTCTGGGTGCCCGGTCCATGCGAGTGCTGCACAGGAAACACCTAACCTCTTAGATGATAGATTTGATACTTCCGAAGAGCCCGAACGATTAGATTAATGTATGTACGAGTGATCACCGCTGCGCGGCTCGTCTTGTATATGCGAGTTTGCATCTAGACTACTTACTATAGAACATTTCTTTTATACGTCAATACGTAGTATATTGTCGTCTATCTCGTCCTGCAAAAATAGCATTCGAGTCTGCATGGTACGTTACAGATGTCAAAGAGCTGTATTGAAACGAAAGATAGTTCGAGTGCGAGGTGTTAGTTGCATGTAGCGGGAATCGGAACTCGCATACGGGTGCTGAAAGTGGAAGTGAAAACTCAACTTGTATTGAAAGAGTTATGATTGCAATAAATCATCTACAGCTCAGTTGTGCATAGTGAGACGTTGGCTATTGTTAAAAGCCACATGTAACTTGATATAAGATGAAGCAGAAGTTGAAACTGGCAAGCAACGAACAGCGCGAACATTCATATTTTAACATGGCGACGGATGCGAGGCCCGGCGGGTTACATTGAGTATTGAAGGCGCACGATCCTGTCACCCCTGTGGTTGAATTGTTAGAAAAACTTCATAGCGCTGGTGCTTGAGGCTTAAAATATTAGACTACCCAGGAAACAATCAAGGTTAATCACCTGGAGAAGTTTGAAGAATCCAATACAACGTACTGGGAACTCGCATGGGTCCCAACAACATATATGAAGAAGTTGCCCGGGAGGTGTTGGGCGGGAAAGGACATGAAGAGAAGGCAGACAGACTGTGATCGGCTAGCGGAAAAAGCCCATAAAAGAGAAGCAATCATGAATCCAGGTTCCGGAGTGTGCTAGAATCTCAGGACACACTGGAATTCATATTTTGTGGGTGTACGGATGACGTTGACAGGCTTGTGGTAAATATCCGTACCTCATGATGACGCAGTTCGATTTGCACATTTACGATACCCGGAAAGTAAGGTGGAGCACATTATATTGTTGAGACGGGGAACTCAGCAATATGTCGTAAGAGCAGAGCTGTTCCAAAAGTAAAATATAGTAATCGGCCTCCAGCAGGCGCAGCGGAGCAGTGGGCTTAAAGTTTGCGCCCTGGCACGCGAGAACCATGCGAGACATGGTCGCCACTCCAAGGTCATCATATCGGAGATGTAGATGATAATATCATTAACGAAGGCTCAAGAACTCGTGAATCCATGTCCATGAAGTACCCAGTCAGGCTCATTTCGGTACTTGAAGATGTTGTCCATGATAAAGTAGGAATGCGATCTTCCGTCTATTGGTCTTCTTCACGAGACAGTAGGGTTGATGGGGCAAGCGAATATCTTCTCTCAAAGGGGACTTGCCATGGACTTGTGCAAGGCTGTAAATTGTACCGCGTTAGACTATCCAATTTCGTCTGGCTCGAGACTCGAGAGTCGCTGACATGATCTAATAGGTTGGGCTGGACCGAGCGTTGGCTCGGGGTGGTATGCAAGTAGGTGGAGCCGATCGGGAGGTTGGGACACCCGCTTACGAATTCGACCGTGTCGAATGACTCTTCGAGAAGCTTCAAAATATATGCGTTAACGCAGTCATGGTGCGCATACTATAAGAATGCTCGAGTAACAAAGGAACTACCATGGGTAGTGAACTGCGGTGTGAGATTAAACAAGAGTGGTGGGTGGGAATAAAGAAAGACTGCTATAGATATGAATGAGGAAGTACGTGGGCCGTGGCAGAGAGAACAGCGCGTCCGCTCAGTTGGACGTATGCCGGGACGTTCCGGCGGGCTGGGCCAGGCACCTCAGCGCCTGTACGTACAAATATTTCAGATGCAGTTTAAAATTTGAAAGCTGTCACGGGCTCAACGCTAGTACTAAAGTACTAAGTACTTACTCCTCTGCCTCAGGGATGTACTGACGAGCGCTGTAGACCACCTGACAATTGCCGCGGTAAAGACTGTCAACAGTCAGTTTACTTATACTATCACCAAATACTTATTTAATTGGTTCTAGATCTTTGCAGTTTATGCACTGACCGTCGTACAACCCGTCCTAACTCCTGGAAATACATCATATCAGACACTAGCTTATACATCGGCGATATAGTTGGTGATCTTGACAGGAGCTGCGATGAGGCGGTGATGCATGAATGATTAGGGCAATTTGCTAATTGCTCAGGATCCCCTGTCAAGCAAGATTATCTCCAAACGGTGCCACGTCCTTGCTCAGGGTCGGAGTCCTGGTCAAGTTCGGTAAACTCTGGGCCGGACTACTTCAAACGGGTTCACAATGGCCAGGTTCAGGTTCGGACCAGGAGCGGTGAGCTCAGCCTGCGCCATCGCGGAGATGTGGCCTTGACGATACGCACTATGAACTCATATTGTATGCCTCCCTTTTATCCTCCGCCGACGAACTGCAGAAAACCAGAACGAAAGGTTTCGCATTTGTATTCCGCAACTAATAAACATTAGATGCCACCGATTGCGGCAGCGGTCTTACCAGCATGTCGACGCCGAGCATTCGACTTCAAGAGGCGATCTTGTATCGAGGTCGATCACTGATTCTCAGTGCTCACAGAACAGAAGTGACGACCAATGAGCTTCCAATGTGGGATTGGTTCGGACTGGTTTGGACAGTCATCAGATACAACCCGAGCGACGAACCTGGGTATGGTTTGATCCTGCATCCCATGTTGAACCCCTAATCGAACGGCACTTCAGTTCGCATAAAGTTCGGTTTCGAAATTTGGTTAAGGACTGAATTGCGGCAGCACTTTGCCAAGATATGGTGGCCCTTGCTCAGGGTTTTCATTAGTGCCAACTGGTCACTGATTCAAATTGAAGCATTTGTACGGACAAGCTACTATCTTTTTACAACTTCCCTCACCGACATGACACCGACATATGACGGACCGGTTGTCCGCTTCTCAGGGTGTAAACCCAAGGTCGAGCCATATCTTACCGACCCTTACGTCTGTAACTGCCACAGTGCCAGCAAAGACATGGAAGCGCTTGCCGTACTTGCATTTAAGTGTCGGGTTTTCCGTGGTCCAGAGCAATATTGATCAGACCTCCTTTTCACTCCCCTTCAAATTGAAGACGGACTGTCTCTGAGCAAGCTCCTTCTTTGACTCATCAAAATTATATCACGAATCGCGACTCGTCAACGGTCACAAAGGATCATGAGCAGCATCGTCATTGGCACTCTGCTTTGGATTTCTGTCCAACCCCTCATACGCCTGCAAGCATCCTTTTCTAGGTTGCCCTTGCGCTTTTTTTCACGCGCGTTGTCATTTCTTCAGGTTCTTGTGCGTAGGATGTGGATTTGGAGTCACGAAGGCAGGCTTATTACCCGCCGTGGCGGCACGCGGGATAGGGCTAGTCATCATAGTAAGGAAATTTTTGATTTGAGGATGCACGACTGATCGATCGACAGAATGTTACGACGCCAAACCTGATGTTCTCGACAATTGTACCGTCGTTCAACTCATCAAACATTACTGAACTCGGTGCGACTTTGTGCCTTTTGCGTCTATTTTGACTAAGGTTGTTTCCAGGCCCCCTTGTTCTCGTCGCACTGATCTATATGCTAATCGGCATAACACTGTCGTGGATCATCAAGCAACTCTTTTGGGTTCCTCACAGATTCCGCCATGGAATTCTTGTGGCTGGAGGGTGGGCAAATATCGGTGACGTCCGTAAGCTCACCGAAACCCTTTGCCTTACGTAATTCTGTCTGACACTGGTTTGCATTAGCTATCTCTGTGGCCCTGAGCGTAATGGCGTCAGCTCCTTTCAATGGAACTGATGACGAGAACCTGGCAGTGAGCTACATCGCTGTTTTTCTGCTGGTATGGTCCGTAAGTATATTGGTCATGTATCTACCTCCGTTTACTGCAACATTCGTAGGTCACACTGTTTCCTCTTGGCGGACACCGGTGTGTCATGATGGATTTCGAAGGTCCTGACTTGGAAAATGATGAAGTCAAGGAGAGGCTGAGCACCAAACACTCGAAGATTCTGTCGAGACTAGCTGCTGTATTCCTGCACCTCAGGCAGATCTTTCTCTTTAACCATCCACCAGTCAAGGAAATCCATACCGAAGTCGGTCAAAATAGCGGCGAAAAAGAAACTCCTCGTGTGACATTTACACATGAGGACTCTGTCACTACGTGTTATAGACCGTCAGAGCAGGAAGAAATCGGAGTCTTGACATTGACGAACGAACATATGCTGCCCCCCAAGTTTCTGGATCCTACTTCTCCCTCACTTACATCCGTACAGCCCGGTCCCCTTTTGACTGACGGAGCCGAGAAAGTCTCCACAACCACCGGTCCTCCTGACTCCATCACTGGGCACGTCACGGTGGCGCATGCTCATTGGTTTCACAAGTTTATCAGCCTGGCCTTTGGATTCCTGCGATCCCTCCTGACTCCCCCGTCTTTGTCGATCATCGTCTCATTCATCATTGCCATTATTCCTTCATTGAAGGCACTTTTTGTTCCAGGCGTTCCTGGCACGCATATACCTTCAGCGCCCGATGGCCAACCTCCACTCGCACTTATCATGAAGACGGCCACCTTCATTAGTGGTGCGTCAGTACCGATGGGTTTGATTACCCTTGGGTCTGCTCTTGCCAGACTAAGCATCCCGCTAAACCAATTGAGCTCTCTCCCTCTCGGTGCCATCGGGAGTTTGGCTGTTGGCAGACTCGTTGTGATGCCCGTTCTGGGCATCCTTATTTGCCAGCAGTTCACACATATCGGACTAATAGATCCCTCCAACAATGTCCTCAGATTCGTCTGCATGTACGTCCCTTTGAACATTTGAGCCTGAATGAAACCTGACCTTGAGCACTAGCCTCTTGTCGGGCTTGCCCACCGCGACCACAATGGTATTTGTTTATTCTTCGTCTTGACTGTAATATTAAGCAGCGTTTAGGTGTTTCTGACTCAGGTGTACTCTGGGACAGGTAATGCTGAGCATTTGTCAGCATTTCTGATACCCCAGTACATCATCATGTTCGTATCGATGACAGCCATCACTTCCTTCACACTTCATATTCTCTTTGGATGACGCCCCTGGAGCAGGGATGTATGAATCACGTTATGCGCGGGTTTAGATCATGACGACCGATAAATGAATGCCCTTTGTCCTGGCAGGTCGGATAGAACAAGAGACAAAGAACAATTATATACTGTATATACGATGTAGGATATATTTGGAGCACCTGAAACTGTATGTACAACCCCAATAAATGCATATGTTGTATATTTGCACCTGTAGTGAAAGCAATCGGCACCACGGTCGAGGATGATGATATTAGCTTCATCGGATGGTTCACCTTTTTAAAAAAATTGGACGGCTACAGAGCTGTCAGAAGGCGAACCGGTGACAGCTGTCGAACAAGTTGGGCCGCTTTACCTTCTGCCGATCTTAAACGGTCCACTGGGAGCTAGGTCACACTAAGAAAGGCAAGCACGAGCAGAAACACGCTTGCGCGATGAAAGGTTTCTATTTGGTGGCAAGTAACAAGGGGTCGTAAGGATTACTAAACTCATGATTGCGAACTCAGCCACGAACAAACGCCAAGTTCGGGCAGACGTTCCTATAACGTGAGGAGATTCCGCCGATAGGCCTTGACCAATTTAAGGTTAAGACTCGTTGACTTTCCGTAGGGTTTGAAGTCGTAACTTAAAGTTCTTTCCAAACGTTATCGGGGGAGTTTCGGCTAAGTCTGAAAATTGGAAGAGAAGTTCAATCATGACTCGTTTGAAACACGAGGCGAGCGCTATACGCATGGATGAACTGCAAATCCGGCACGATATCTTGGAGGATGAAGCATATCATGATGAAAAATTACTCCTGCGAGGTGCTGTGTGAGGAGCCTTTATAATTGCAGGCGCTGACGAAGCCCGACAAAGATGCACCGAACATAGACAAGTCCACATCGCACACTATAGCATATCTCGGAGTCGTGCGAAGTGACTGCTTCCATAGGCACTCAGTACTCACACGACATGACAGGGCATTCATCACCACAATAGGCTTTGACGTAGAGTGTTTTCACGAGGCTGGGCTTGCAACACAGTGGTGCATAAACTCTATTCGAGGTGACGTGTCCCCGGTGCATTCCATTGGTTCGGACCATGTCAGAGGATGTCGCGGATTACGAAATCTACGTTTCAAGGCCATTTTGAAGCAAGAAGAGGAGCTAGAACCAAGCAGAACCCATCGTTCAGACGAGAGTTTGGAAGGAGTGATCTTCGACAGCGGAATGTGAAAACATCCTTCGATTGTGTGAAATAACATTGGGTTGTCGGCACGAGAAGGTTTGGAAGTATGTTTAAATCTTGAAGACGTTTTTAAACCCTACGGAAAGTCATCCACGGTCATACATACTGGTACACCTGGTGTGAAGTGATGGTGATTGAGTCGATGATGCTGGGGGTTTCAACATTTTGAGTCCTGCAAAGTAACAATTAAAGACCTTGCTCTAAACGTAGCCTAGAGCGTTCCAGACCTTTAGATTCTCTGTTCTTTCAGAGGCTCCGAAATGTTGTCTCCGATGCCGCCCGGCCTACGTATTATATTAGAAGGGACGGTGACGGACAAAAGACGCGTGACGTCACTCATGACTGTATTTACGAGATTTACGAGACACGGCATGCACGTCTATTCCTCATGACGACGCGCTGCAGTTGCTGTGCTTTGGTGGCCAAAAATGTACCTTTGAGAAAGATTCAACGTCTAGCGTTTCGCTGATTTCCTCAGACATAACTGAAAAAAAGTTCTTGTATTACTCACCGAGTTCCGAAATTGTAATAGCGCACCGTGGCCTACTAGTCTTGATGGGTCGAAAGATCGTACATAAGAGTACATATGAATGCCAAGTCCTGTGAAACTCGCTTCAACGGCACACTGTTAGGTTACCGCTAGCTGACCTGAGCCTAGACAGTATATCGTGACTTGAGCAGGCGGCCTGCCCGTACGCAAATATTGTTGAGTTGTTTGCTTTAGCCCAAGTAGGGTGCATCACATGAGATCCGATAGAGAGGATCAAGCTCAGAGATGTTGCATCGCTTTTGACGGTTTTTATTTGGGGTGCTTCTTTCCGGCGCTTCCCAAGCTTGTGAATCCGGGGTAAGCAATGTGATGAGCCAAGACCGCCCATATATTTCCAGGCAGCGGTAAAGGCTCTTTGAACCGTGTTGCGGGAATGAGTTTCAATCGCGGCGGCCTTTTGTTAAACAGCGTCAATAGCGACCTTTGTTGACGGACACAAAGATCAAGTGACAGAGTGTGGCGCGATGTACATGGAGTTCGTTAGCTAGAAGCGGCTCAAGAGCTGAATATAGATATGAATATTTTATTTTGGCGCATCTACGGTCATTTGATTAATTAGGTCATGATCTTAATTCAATACAATGCGGCATGTTTAGTCATACATTTTTCGGTCTCTGTTCTCCCGCTGGATAAATAGCGGGTTCGATTGGTTTTTAACCTTGTCCGCGTTGGTCAACTTCTCTCTTCTGTCCATTTTCTTCACCCGCTCATTCTTCCCTCAACATGTCTGACGTCGAAAAGGCTAACTCCACCCACCAGAACTATGCGAAGGCCTATGGCCCTCCACCAACGCGCATCGCTAATCCGGGTGCACTGTAAGTTCACCGTGTTTGTCGCGCCCGCCAGCGCTCTGAGCTCATTATATATCAGTGGTTTGTTCTCGTTCGCGTCCACGACCTTCATTCTGTCGCTCTACAACGTGAACGCTCGTGGAGTTGTTGTCCCTAATGTAGTCGTCGGCATGGCCTGCTTCTGTGGTGGTCTTGCCCAGCTTCTTGCTGGTATGTGGGAGTTTCCCCGCGGCAACGTATTTGGTGCAACAGGTTAGTGCCTTGATTGTAATTGATGTCTTTACCCGCCATGGCCGTTGTGTATTCGTGGACGTGTATTATTTTTTGACACGACGCGATCGCCGTAGTCACGTGACCTGGATCGGAGCTTACCTATTTGGGGTTAACTCGCTCCTTGTGTTCGGTGTCAGGCAGAACATTCTGTAACGACGGTAGCTGATGCTGAATTGACCCATATCCTTAATTTCACTGATTCTATCAAATGCTAAATGTGATGCTGACTGTTTTGTTGATCAGCTTTCACTTCCTATGGCGCGTTCTGGATGTCATACGCCACTATCTTCATACCCGACTCCGGAATTGTCGCTGCGTATGGTACTAATACGGATGAACTGAATCAGGCGCTCGGCATTTACCTGATTACTTGGTTTGTTTTCACGTTCTTGCTCATGTGCGTCGTCCTCTCTTTTGGATTTTATGTAACTTCTAATGCGTCCTCAATAGGCTTGGAGCGCTGCGCCGTAACATCAGTTTCATCGCGCTCCTCTTCTTCCTGTGCATCACCTTTGTGCTTCTTGCGGTCGGCATCTGGACAAACAAGCTGAACGTCTCAAAGGCTGGCGGTGCATTCGGCATCCTTACCGCCATGATTGCATACTACTGTGCTCTTTCGGAGTTGCTAGTCAAGGGAGAGAGTTGGTTTACCCTCCCTATGGGAACTATCAAGCAAGAGCGCGTGGACTGAACGCCGGGTTGATCAAGTCCGCGTGGGATAGATATTTAGTTAACATCTTGCACCGTGGACGCCAGTCTAGGACTACCCATTTTCACGTCTTTCCCTCAAAAATGGTTAGCATTCAATCATTCCACCCCATCTACGTTTTGTCCTTTGATACCCTGCGATACCATCCTCCAATCTGACGACGCATTTCGCAATACTATTCCCCACGGTCCTCAACCTGTAGATCACTCCTTTGACTTTGGATTCCCATGTGTCTCGCACATTCACATTTCAACCTTTTGTTACTATATTCAACTGATTCGTAATGTTGATAATGCGACGATTGAACATCTTGACTTGAGATTGTGATCTGATATCAAAAAGAAGAGCGAGCAATGGAAGTTTGCTATACCACGAACTTCCAATTATCGGATAACTTTTCCCAACTCTGGATAAGTCTTGGTATTATAAAATTAAGGACCAACGCTCATATCTAACTTGGGAAGCTCCTCTCTCATACATGTTTCTCGGACGCTTTGTGATCATAATTATAAATGCCGCACTCCACTCTCAGGTTCCAGGGTCACCCCGGTTTGAGCAATGGAGAGCAGTACTTGGTGGGAAGCATTTTCAATCAGTGTGGGGGATACGAGGAGTTCAGGGAAGACAGATCACTTTACTCCCTGACAGTGCTATTTTGAGGGCGTGGCCTGCGACCGAAGAGGTGATGGGGTTAGGGAGTTCCCCGCCTCGATATATACTTAATCTATCAGGAATTTCATTCTAATAGTCTTGTCGACGGGTAGGAGAAGGCTATGTAGACGTCACCAGTAATACTTATGTCACTTGCAAATATGGGCGATGCGAACAAAAACTACCATTTCCATCGTTATTTTTCCAAGCCATCATAAGTAGTACGTATGTCGAAGCTAAGCCGGGCCCAATTGTTGATTTCAATCACCATGAGGACTCTTCGTTTCACTTTGGCTTCGGCAAATAGGACAGGGGTGGAAGCCACGAGGTACCATGCGATGTGACGAACTCGGCTGCGGAGGCGATACCGTGGAGTGATGGTATGTTTCTTCTCCGCAAACAGAATGAATCCGGCACGATCGGAGCGGGTCATTGTTCGTCAGTCACATGACCTGGCACATCCCCGCAAATGTCACCGAAATATACTGTGTGGAGTGGGAGGTGACTTTGCACGCACCAATTGAGTGGGGTTGAGGCAGGATCCTAGAATTTCATCGCTATAATTTTAAACAAAATGTACGGGTACTATCCAAAGAGTAAGAAAACTCACAGAATCTGGGACCGCAGTCTTGAGCGTGGGACAGGACATCCGGTTTCTGAGCCCAGTGAAATATCTATATCACTCAGGTCAAGGGGATAACAGAACGGTGCGTGAGTTACCGAGAGTACGGTTCCGACAGATGCGGTTTGCAGAAGCGATTTGCCGATACTCGGATAGAATCAGATTGCAAAGGAACGCTGCGGGTCTATCTTGATAACCTAGCATTCTGTTTGCGATGACGTCAGGTTCAACGCTAAGAACTAAATATGTCGGGCTGGAACACCTACGCGAGTAGTTACCTCATAACGAGTAACCTAAGCCATGGTGTACCTATTGACCTGAACAAACATTTCTGACCTCGCCATTGGTGCACCCCTTTCCATCTAGAATTATATTTCGTTAAGAGACCTCGGGACGCATACCACGAGAAAGACCAGAAAGTTGTTGGCATTGTTCGTCTTGACTTATTGTACGCCAGATGAATACGGAACTTTTGAATCTGCTTGCACATGAGACCCTGGTGGCGGATTGACCAAAAGCTATGAGTAAGAGGAAAATGTCATTAGTATCGCAGGAGTGTCTTGACGGGCCTCACCATGCAAACCTGTAGACCTTGATCCTGTTCGGTTATTCAGAGTGTCAAAACGGGGTTTAAGCCCTTGGTCAAGAACATCACCTTGGCCAAAGACCGAAGCTCCGAGAAAGGCGGACACGTCCCTGGTCACATTGGTCCCGGCCAGCATCCAAGGATAGAGTGCGCTTACATGGACGCTAGTGCAAAAGTTGAAACACGCTCGTCTTCGTTATCCGACATGGGTTCCTTTGACGAGAACAACGATCGGATGGTCCCGTTTCGCTTGCGCGACCTAACTGCAAGGTCAACCTTTGAACAGCTGCCAAAATATCTCATCTTCAATTCTTGGCTGCGACGTCTTTGAGAAAATCCATACACCACTTGACAAATATGACTAGTATGGGCGATCGTATGGGCGGGAATGAGTCAACTGGAGCTTTATGGCAGGCCGACGGAGGAAGAGATGCTATGAATGAATGCACTAGCAAACCTCAAGATGAAGCTGTTAAACTGATTTGTTCGGATGGAATTCGGAAAGGATAAAGATAGAAGGGGTAACGTAATACGACTGGCCAGGACGTTGGCGGTGGGAGGAGCCATAGCCAATAGGTTCTTGGTTAACCCGATCATACTCTATTTTGGACGAGGCGCAAAGGAATTGTTTAGATTGGGGAAGAGGGATGGCACTCCAGGCAACGGTACCCAAAAATCCGAGCAGCTGCAGCGAAGGGGAGGACATTACCCATATATATGCGAGGTACCACATCGGGAAGTTGCGCCATGACGTGAAGGCTGGAGAGGATATCCAAAGATCATGCGACGCCTTGAGGTAGACAATGTCCTGAATATAGTACTCATGACCGACTGATCAATTGGGTGTTCATTAAAAGCATGGAAACAAGGTCGTAATGGCATTCTTTAGCGGATAAGGATTACTAAACACCAGTGTCAGTGTGATGTAGGCATTTGGCAAGAATAATAAATTGTCATACGTACGCAACAAGCCAACTCTCAGATAGATCGAGTCATGAGTCCTCATCGCAGGTGGTCGAGGAACTGACACTTCATCGCTTCTTGGTTAGCTGTGGCGGCTCAGGAAGCATCGGTCACGAAAAACACAATCCAACACTGTCGACTTCCAAGTCTCTCAGGCCATAAATACAGATGACTCAAATCTGCCATGGTCCCGACTCTGTCAGAAGTTGACCCTGGTGGCACCATGGTGTGTCTTGGTAGCCGAATTATGTGAACACGGAGGGTGGAGGGTACCCAAACGGTGCAGGCTATACATCCTCACGACATTCGCGCGGTGGCACCTTGTGACCTAATTGCAGTGACCATGATTGCCATCCATGGCAAGCTGCCCTCATAAACCAGCCATGATGGCTGGATCAAGCAAGAAACGAGGCATAGATTGGTGACCTGGTCTATATCGGTGACATATGAAGTGAGTAGCGTCTCCTTATACACAGCGCAGATCATACCCGAGAATTCAAAGGCCCCTGACATGTCACTTCACCAGCCAACGCCGTCAATGCCATGCCTTGAGTTGGCAGTAACCTGACGGAGCTTGCAGGGCTGCTTGCCATATTGCAGACGCGACCGGCATGGACCGAAACTCCGCTTGCTTTACATTTGCGCGCTTGTTTCTGATTTTCGACAACAAATTTACGGGTCATCTCTTTTCTATCTGCCCATCATGTCCTCTAACGTGCCCATTGCTCATGGTGATATTACAGCACCGACTCCACAGAACACTCCCTTGACGCACGCTCCCATCGCTGCTGGTCTTTCGCGTCCAACAGTCCCGGACATCTCGGAAGATAATGAACCAGCCGAAGATGAAGATGATTCTGCTCAGATAACTAGTGCTCAGGCCGCGATGTTGGGTCTTGTTCAAGGTCGCCTTGCAGATCTCGTCGGAAAGAGCTCTGGGTACATTGAGAGTCTACCCATCGATGTGAGGAAGAGTGTAGAAGCCTTGAAAGGGGTTCAGGTCAAGCAAAATGAGCTGCAGAATCAGTACAAGCGCGAATGTCTGGAACTTGAGAAGAAGGTCCGGTATCATTTTTCTTAACTTGTGTTGTTGTCTGATTTTTGGTTTCTTTCTTTCTATCAGTACCTCGAACTCCAAAACCCTCTGTATGAGCGGAGAAACGCGATCATCTCGGGTTCTGCTCAAGCTACTGTGGAGGAGATCGAAGCTGGCAGTCAAGCTTCTTTGAAGGATGATCCATTATACACGCCACTTCCCAGTGATGATGCTGCACCAGCGGCTATCCCAGAGTTTTGGCTTACGGCACTCCGCAATCATGTTGGACTCTCAGAGATCATCACAGAACGAGACGCTGCCGCACTCAAGAACCTCATTGACATTCGGTTATCATACCTTCCCAGTGACTCACCAAAACCGGGATTCAAGATCAGCTTTATCTTCAGCCCAAACGATTACTTCGAGAATGACGTTCTTGATAAGACTTATCTCTATCAGGAGGAGGTGGGCTATACTGGTGACTTCGTGTACGATCGCGCGATCGGCACGGAGATTAAGTGGAAAGAGGAAAAAGACTTAACGAAGGAGTTCGAGATCAAAAAACAACGAAACAAGAGTACGATCATTTGCATTCTGATCGAACATATCTCATCGTTTTCTCTAGACACAAATCGCACGCGACTGGTTCGTAAAGCACGCCCAACCGACTCATTTTTCAACTTTTTCTCGCCACCTGTGCCCCCACCTGATGAGACGGATGAAGAGATGGATGAAGAGGACCTGGAGGAACTCGAGGAGAAACTGGAGATGGACTACCAGATTGGCGAGGACCTCAAGGAGAAGGTAGATATCTCCGTAATCATCGGAATATTGTTGACTGATGATGAATGCTCCAGATCATCCCGCGTGCCATTGATTATTTCACTGGCAAAGCCCTTGAGTACGACGTTATGGACGAAGACGAAGACGACTTTGATGAGTTGGACGATCAAGACGAGGACGGCCAGTTCGATGACGAGGTATGATCCTCCCATCTACTTGGACGTCACCCACTGTGGCTCATCCTTATCCAGGATTCTGACTCTGAGGTTGAGTTGCCAAGACGTCGTGGCCCTCCCAAGGGCCGTGGCGGCTCGACTGCCGGTGCCGTCAACCCCGAAGAGTGCAAGCAGCAGTAGGCGAACATCCCATCTCTATGCTTTGAGACACCACCTTCCAAAATTTTCTGTCGTTGCATTTGTTGACATGAATTAATACAATCTCCTGCCTGTTTCTACATGTAAACACACCTTGCTGTGCAACTCTCATTTTTTTCTGACGCAGAATTAGTCTTCTTCTGTCGTTGCTCCAATCTCTTCTACTGACCCTACTTAACGAGGGTGGTGTATATAGGTTTTGCGCGGGTTTGCTTCAGTTTGCACCTAGCATAATGGAACGTAACCAATGGATGTCGTAGGGGCTTCCTCTTTGTTTGCGATGTACTACTTAGGACGGTTTGTATATTCTTCATAAAATATATTCACAATTCACAGATTCATTGTGCTCATAAATACATTATTTGTCTACTCGGTCGGAACCTCCGCCTGGGGAGTGAGGCGAACTGCATGCCTCCTGTCACCAGGATTGAAGTCTCCAGTCGCGGAGTGGGCAGTGACTCGGTTGTCCTGCAGACGAGATAGGTTCAGCAACTGATCACGAGAAAGAAGCGCAAGTCACTCACCCAGACAACAACACTGCCGGGCGCATACCTCGCACGAATCTGGAAGTCTGCGCCCTTTGCAATGTGGTCGAACAAGAATTTCAGGAGGTACTCAGATTCCTCCGTCTTGAAGCCGACGATGCGGCGCGTGAAGCCCTGGTTCACGTAGAGTGCTTTCTCCCCGGTCACGGGGTGCCGGCGAACGAGGGGATGCTTCACGACAACAAGATCAGCGTGTGATGTTGGAAGGTTAGATGTCATCTACCTCAGTCAGTATAGGCTCTCGGACGCACAACCCCACCACGCCTGCGGGAAGACTCTGCTTGCTCGAAAGCGCTGTGCACGGCGCGCAAGCCTTCGAGGCGTTTCTTAAACTCGGGGGAAAGACGGTTGTATGCCTCTACCTGAGACACAAATAGCGTGTCGCCGCCGACTTCTGGCTGTGCTGAAATTAGTTTTGGCACAGATAGCAACGATAGGGGATATACCTGATCTAGAATGAAGAAGAACGTGGTTCCGGCGGGCTGTTTCTCGTAGGACTATATGGGGTGTCAGATAAGAGGCAAACTACGGCAGGAGGAGGTTGTACTGACGACGTCGGAATGCCATTGAGTGCGGTTGATGCGTTCGTCAGGTAGGACTTCCTTCAGCCTGTCATGTTCAGAACCCCGATAAACTACGGTCAAGGTGAGAATAGGAGAGAGCCGTGGTGATAAAGGGCCTCACCGACGTGGAACTCTGGGTATCCCTTGACATTCCCCGAAGTCGGGTGTCTCTGAATCCGTCCAAAGTGCCTGGCAAACCAATATCATGAGTCCACATGCTCGTTACAAACGCAGGGTACCGCACTTGGCGATCTCAATCTGCCTATCAGGTCCTATATCCTTGAAGTCTTGGTTGCGGAAGATAAGGACCTTCCTCTCCGCGGCGTACAGAGCGAGCTCATTGAGACCTTCCTCGCTCAGTTGGGAAATCTGCACACCGGAGATCTCGGTCCCGAGGAAGGGGCTTATATGGGTGACATTTGTCTCGGGCGTCAACAGGTGTGGCTTTGCACGGTCCGCCTTGGCACCGGGGTCCGTGTGCTCTATCTTTGATGTCAGTTCCAGGCCTCACTTCGACAGATGAAATTCACAGACCGTAGACTTGCGTTGGAGGGAATTTCTCGTTTGGGTCATAATAGGGGTAGTAGAATGGGTATGAAGGGCCCTTCTGTAAACATGCATTATCGGGACTTGATCGTGGGTTACAACACATGGACAACGTACATCCTCCTTTGTGGCTGTTAACTTGAGATCGGCAATGGTGTCTGTGATGGGGGGTACAGTATCAGAAACTGAAGGTGCCATTGCAACTGATTGTGTCGATGAAGTATGGACGATATGCAAAGAATTGGGATGCTCCCTTTATATGTTGCATCACGAGCGCTGAAGGGGGGACTCTGATGGCTGTCATTGACATTTGACATTGCATGAGCATGCAATCTTGAAGCTAGATGGCTCATTAATCGCTGCAATAGATAAGGCAGCCATTGCGGGGTGCTCGACAATAATAATAGGCCGTTGTGATAGGAGGTTGGTCAGAAGACACCACAACTAGACTCTCGAGATGAGGATATGACAGGTCCTGGCGAGCTATGGGGAGCGAATGACGCAAAGTGACGACGCGACCTGCTGATTATGATGTTCTCAAAACATGCAATGAATTCACTACTGTCCCCGGTTAGTATGATGTGTGACCATGTGCCACTGACCGGGAACTGTTGTCTCGTTAAGTTTAGGACACCCAGTCGAAGGCGGGCCGGGTAAATTCAGTCTGCTCAACTAGACTGGTCATAGTGTGCCTCCACATTAATGGCCTAATCGCAAGAGGCGTTGCGTCATGTATCTTGCGGCTTATTTGCTAAGAGTTGGTAGAGCTGTCACGATGCTCACCTGGGGAATGAATCCAGACCACTGCCTACGACCCTCAAATCCCTGAAGAATAACACACAACGATTTTCGTTCCAAGCCAATGCATGGGGGCGTCTTTCACTTGTCTCAACGTGACCTAGACACTAAGTTCAGTACCTAGCACTGAGCCTGGGAGAATGGGCACGTTCAAAATGATGCTACCTTCATAGTATAACTTGAGACAACCTATGGTACAAAGGTCAATATTGATGTACGCAGCTGCTATTATCAGAGACTCGACGCTGAGATGGAAACAGACCAGTGTGCTTCGCTGTCTTTGCCTAAGAGAACACCAATCAAGAGAATACTACTTCTGCCGCGTCACGGATAGAATGTGCCCGGTCAATAACAAGGCATCGCAGACGTATCAGTATTAGTCTAGATCTATCAGAATACATCAGGAGTGCCACGCAACGGACAGAATGGTTCAGCAGTACTCACGATGCAATTACTCCTGTCATTCATTTGGCATCACTCATGACAGCCATTAACTCTCGATACCCAGCTTCCGTCGTGATGTCCAGTTCCAACCCAATCGATTGGAACGTCGCCTGCCGTTGGAAATTCGGGGACTATGCAGCCAATGTATTTGTCCATGCAATAGAAAGCAAGTTTATGTTCTATGACGTTGATACCATGGAGTCTGGGTGCGGCGGTTATCGGTTCAAGGTTCCGGAATCCGTCCCTCATCTTTTGTACGCAGCGATCCTAGCTGAGAGATTATTGAATTCACCAGGGGAATTGATTTCGAGAAAGAGGATTGCGCCGGAATATAATGGCGAGAGTAACGATGAGAGTCATCATGAGACTTGCCCTCGTAAAGGAGACTTGGATCCTCGAATCGTGCCTGCTCTGGGAGTTCATACAATGGATGAATTAAATACGGATAACAAGCATCGTGCACACCCCGTAGTAGTCGTTTAGAAGGGTTATATCAGCCGGAATTTGAGAAAATCATTCGAGGTCCATTTGGTCCAGCATGACGGTCGAAGATGCTATCAGTTGTTGGTCAATTGCGTGAAAAATGGCACGAATCAGAAAAGGTCAACAAAGTTGAGTCGGAGTATGGATTGCCTGTCCTGGTCTTTGACTTCCTCACAAAGTCCGAATCGCATACCATCATGATGTAGTGCCAGTACTGGTGGTGCAGGTCATTTGGAAGCGTCGCACAATGACTCGGATAGGGCAAATTGTGACATGTTCGGATGACCTGGACCACTAAGTATTATCCAGACTCCACCCATTCAGTGGGAGACTTCAAGGGAATGCAACTTGATAACTCCACGAATGATACATGTAAGTCTGGGGTTGGCTCGCAATGTGCACTCGTTCAACTTATATACACTTGTGATTTGTGATCAAGACAGGTATTGATACTCAGGCTGGCCGTAGCAACAAGGTGTGTGATATCGAGACGAGTGTACGGCTCGAGCTCACACAGGCATCTAGATTTTTCGACGGTAAACAAATCGATTCTGCAAACAGACAACCGAACTATGAGTGCAAACGCCTACATATTGGACAACTTGAAGAAGATTCAAGACACCGCGCGTGGGGGGCTGAAATGGCACTCGTTGGTCCACAGTAAGCGTTTCCTATTTCTGGTATGAATAAGTTCATCAACTTATGAGTGAGTGTAGTATGCAGGGACCGGCATTAAGTTACCTTTTGCTGATCTGATGCGTGTTGTGCACAGCTGGCTTCCTGATGGTTAATTCGGTTAACCACCTCAACCGCTTCCTGCCCTCCTTCCTTCGCTCTGCTATATCTCCTCTGACCTATTCTCTGACGAGAACAACGTAACGCGAGACGGGACAGTCTAGTGCATGACTTTTTCAATGTGTGCTGACGCTGTTTAACATAAGACTATAAGTAACTCTTTCAAACTCCGCCATTTCCTATTCGTTGAAAGCTCGATACACTTACATAAAGCTTCACAAAGTCCTCGAACGTTTAGAAACTCCTGTGCGACAATGATAGAAGAGCCTTACGCACAAGGGGGTCGTCTCCAACTACAGGTAACTCTTTTAAACGACGAGAAATCCTCGTTCATGTGCGTTGCTCTCATCCGCAAAGCATTTACCCCTGTCACTAAATGCCCAGTCTTACTCGTCGAAATCGAGGATGTCCTTGTCAGAGCCGGCCTCCCCAATCCATTAGTAGTTAAAATATACGACCCTCGTTTCAACTGCGAGCGCACATCCCCACTCCCAAGACTATCTCCCATCCCTTGGTCAGCCGCCAATGAAAAGGCCGCAGCTGACCGTCGTACACTCGCACCGGGCGACGATTCAGACGATAGATTCTTTCCATGGGAGAGAGAGTTCTTTGACGGCTCATCGTGGGAAGACGCCTACTACCGCGAGTATGAGAGGTCGTTTGCACGTGAAGTTGAAGCCTACAGATGTCTTGGACAACTTCAGGGCTCTACCATTCCCCGGCTCTATGGTTTAGGTCGGGTCGTTTCAGGCCACGGCGAAGGTCGCGCCATATCACCTCAAGTGCTTTTCATGGAATACATCCCAGGCGAGAACCTCGCAACCATCCAAGACCCCCATTCAGTCCCTAGTTCAGCATACGAGGAGCTCGTAAAGGCCGTGAGCAGCCTCGCGTCTTTCGGTATCATCCATGCCGATATGCGCCCTGAAAATATTGTCGTATCTTGCAGTCACCCTAGACGAGCGGTGCTCATCGACTTTGGGGTGTGTCAATTTCGTTATACTGATGAGTCTGACGACAACTGGGAAGAGAATGTCAGGATCGAAGGGGAAGAGAGGGAACTCCGGCGCTATTTGAAGAGTTCGGGCATTTGGCACCAGGAATAGTGCGCGTAATGCTCGGGGAAAGTAGGTTGGCTTAATATTCCAGATACTAAGACATGATCTAACCATCCACGAACTTTTGCAATGGCGTAGGCATAGCATAGTCCATTCATAAACCGGGCAGCCAGTCACGGTCAATGCCCCATGACGAGTTAATTCGTCAAAATTATGATCATATGATAGGAAAGGAAGCTCTGGACCGTTGAACGTGGATGTGCCAGCGATTGGCGCTGTAAGTTGGAGAGGCGAATATTCAATCCGATGGAGTTTTCTTGCAACGTACTTAAAATCTACCCTCGCCGGCAGCAACCTTGTCATAAATCATACTTCAAGTTATCAATGCATTGTCGGGGAAGGCATGAACATTTAGTACTGATCTCTCATTATATGCATTTCCTAAGCCTCACGCCTCCAGACTCCAGACGAGTCGGGCTATGTACGCGACCCCCTGGTCGTATCTGGGATGCATGTCCCAGGAGATCAATATTCAATGTCAGCCCCACATATACGACAGACTCGGAACGAGACATAGGCTGGTTCACTCGATGTCTGACTTCGCCTTTGACTTCAATTCTTTTTCGGGACGTCCTGCTTGTCGTTATGAGAAGTATGGATCCTGTTGACGCGGCTCTTCCTCTACAACATCACTGGTATGCACCCTTCATACATCAAGATGTCCCTCTGGAAACCCACGCTTTTTTGTTTTCATCTCTCACTGCTCCAGGTTTCGCACTAGATGCGTGCAGTATGGCGGGTGAATTGGGTTACATCTTGCTGCACAGCATCCCTGACGATACCGTTGGAGAACTCTGACAAGAAGTAAACTCACTAGTGTATCATTTGATGTTTGAATCTGACTTTGAAGTACTGATTCGGCCTGAGCGTGGGCATAGTACTCCTCAACATTCCAAGAATGAGTGGCTCGCGTATTTTTTACCAGGAGTGCTGACCCAGCCAACTTCTAACCACGGCCGCTTTCGTGTAATGATGACCGACTTGTCGATCACATTCGTTCTTGGTGGAGAGCATGCATTTTTCATATCTTCCCTGCCTGCGAGCGTCCGAGTCCGAGTTCCCTTTCGAGCTGCTGTGGCTGCAGGGTTATACTGACGAGGTAAGTAGATTGGTACATGATGATACTCATGATAGCATGGCGATGGAATTGTTCGCTGTTCACTCGTATTCATGTGGCAGTCTTTCATTAGATTATCGGGTGTTGCTCATGTAACATTCAAGTAGAACGGCAGCCTGTTATTCGGTTCGAATTTTCTCGAGTCATACTTGTACTTTCGATTTCAACAGCGATACCTGAAGACTCAGGAAGGTTACCATAATCCTATTACAGCGATGTAGTGAAACTGCAGATTTACATGTGGAATAAACTTGGTCCAAGTTACTGTATCGTATACTCCAGGAGGTGACGATCATAAGCTCAGGAACATACTAAAGTACAATTATACATTATATAACACGTGCAAAAATGTCAAAGAAGCTGGCTGAAAACTCTAGGACTTGGCGCGAAAAAGCGTTGATACATTGCGTGAGCCAAAAAGTCATGGCATAGAGGAGAGAATGTATTAGCGGTGCACATGCCATCCCAATGGCAGCCACACGCCATAATATCTGCTCTGCGTCTCTCGCAAACAAGAGATTCCAGCCCAGACAGTGTATCCCTCCCAACACCAACCCAATGACGGATGAAGTGATTAACATCACCAGCAGGCCAGACGGGTTACACGCTCTTGTGCAAGGACGATGCGAACCAGATTGATCTTAGTGTGTTGAATGAGGTGGGCGTCTTTTGTATGCCAGTGTAATGTGATTGATTAATGATTTCATAATAGTTCCGCATGCTCGTCGTTCCTACCTACCCCTTCGTCGATATCAACCCCTTCATCATATCAAGGCTATTCCCATCAGGCTGTAAATCAATGAACTCTCCACAGCCCATCGGCACAGTACGCAACAACCCATGGTCGGGAGTGATACCAACGATGCGGACACTTCGGTGTGGAGTCCGGTTCGTTAGTGTGACGAGTTGGTCTCTGTCCGAATCACGAGTAAGCAAACAGTAAATATCGACGTAAAGCGAAACACGACAGAGACGTACGAATGTAATCATGATCGGAGGTATCGATCCATAAACAGGGGAAACCCCTGTTCTTCATTCTGCAAAAAGAACTCCATATGCGCTGAAAGGAGGTGAGGACTGCCGCCGCTATGCGTTCTACAGAGAGCCCTGGGGTAGCTGTAGATGCGAGTTGGGCGGGCGAGGTGATAGGTGGAGCGCTCTGGACGTTGAGGCCGCTTCCTATTTATTGGTAAGTTTGAGTGTGCGTGTCGGGAGCTTTCATGTCACTGAGCGAGGCAGCCGTACCGATTACTATATCTGCCACGCCATCACCAAACTCGTGTTTACCAGTATCCCGCCCATTTTCCGTAGTTCCGGCGTTGACTTTGAATTTGATGTTGGGCTGCTTTGGGAAGACGGGAAGAGGCCATAATAATTAGGCCATATCAGACGGACTTTGTGGGCCCATTCAGAGGCGGGGTTTAGGACGTGACATGCGTCGATGATGGCTAGTGCATAGAGGTATTGAATGAATATGAGGTTGGAGGGGGCCTGGTACTGCGCAGGATCAAATTTCAAATATCAGATGGTTGAACACTATTAAATAAAAAGTCGTCAGTCTTACCTGATGAAGACCCTGTGAGCCGACACGAATCTTGCAAGCAACCTGCAGGTGAGAGCTACGCGTTACCGCCTCTGCTGCGTCCTGCCAGTTGTACTGTGGCGAGGGAGACGATGGGAGAGGGGAGTGCACGGAGGAAAGATGGGTTTCTGTTCAGAGGGTCTCAGTGGGCGGCACGATGGACGTGATTGGGTGAGACGCACTTGTCAAACATTGTTTGGGTGCTGGAGACCACTTCGCCATATATGAGTGCTTCACCAATGCGCCAGGAGTTTATATCTTCAGTTCCAGAGCGGAACTCATCTACGGCGCGGAAGAAGGCAGATGGTGAGAATTGTGGGGTGTATATTCGTTCATCCTCGGAAGTTGAGGGTTTTGAAGGTACGAGTACGTGTTTGACTTTCGGGCTCGAGAGGGAATTTGGTAGAATGAGTTCGAGTATGGGGTGATTGGTGGTTCCGTCCTCGGGAGGGAAGGATGGGAAGTGGGAGTGGGAGTCGTCGTCGTTGGCATCTTCGAACACAAATGACTCCCACTTGCGTTGTGATTCACCGGTGACAGTTAACCCAAGATTTAAATGATCGAGCAGTGACTCTACGATGCGATGCTGCACCTGCCACGGATCTGGACGAGCCAGAAGAAACTGGGGCAGAAGTGTGAGGCTCAAGACCGAGATCAACTCTCTGAGGGAAAGCGCAGACCAAGTGCGGATAGCGATCGCGACAGCAGGATATCGGGAAGGGGTAGTAGTGTGCAATTCCACATCACGACAAGCTCGTTTTGAGATAAGATACCGGCAGGCGCATTCCCCTCCACGTAACGACCAAGGATTGTACTTCAAAGCTTCAAGGTCCAAAGGACACGTGAATAGTCTGGATGCAGATACCACCGTGTCGTTGATCGATACATCTGGTAGTTGAGGAGATGTAGAGGGACGCGTTTTCATCAGCGACTATGAGTACAGTCATGACTCGGTCCAAATAGAGTACCTCTTCTTATGCCAACGACGAAGGCTACCTCCGAACTCGATATATTTACGGACAGCTTTATGATCTGCGGGAGGGGAGAGGTGTAGGAGGAGGGCGCAAGAGGTGTACCATGGGTATTCTTGTACGGAGAGTTGAGAGGTGTTATGGTAGATAGTGCGGTGTCAGTACATGTCAGTATTGAAGCAAGCGTTGGGTGAACACGTGTTAGTACTTGCGTTTAGGGATGTAACGTTACAAATTCGCGGAGTCTCAAAAAGCCTGGACAACAAAGTGCTTCCAAAACCAATCCGAAACTTTTCTTCGTGCGTATCAATCTGATTATCGATTGGGGCTAGGGTTGTGTTAAGTGCACGGCTACACAGCAGCTAGCAGCCTCATTGAATGCCTCAAGTCTTCTTCGTAAAGGCTTCGTATGAATTTGATTATACTAGAATTGGGCTAGGGCTTCAGCACAGCTGGCTGCCTCATGGCTTCCTGATGTAAATTTGGTCAAATACCTCAACTGCCTTCCTGCCCTCCTTCCTTCGCTCTCCTACATCTCCTTTGACCTATCCTCTAGCCAAATCTTAAACGAAAGAGAGACAATCACTTATCCTCTGACCTTGCTATCTGATCGAAATGCACTATCCATTCAAATTCCAGGATTTCGGAAAGGTCATTGCAATTCGTTTTAAGCGCCTTAAAAACCAAGGACGTACACAACCCAACTTGACAACTGCCGACCATGAAGGCTGATAACTCTCTCCCTACAGACCACTCTAATCCTGTTCTTGCACCAATGCTCTCTTCGGATTCTTCGTCAGTGTATCCCGTTTCTGCAAGCAGAGAATCAAGTCTCGAACCCTCTATCCATCTTTCCCATGCTAGATATTCTGGGACTGTATCCCTTGGTTGCAAAGCATCTGACATGGCTCAGGTAGCTTTGCCCATTGTACAGGCTATTGCAGGTGCAATTCCACTTGTTGGCGCTCCAATGCAAGCCGCTATTAGTGGATTATTGACAGGCCTTCAAACTATAGACATGAGCACTTGTTTAGTGATGGGAATACATTTTGATTCCAAGGCCCGTCACAGAGACACAGTCAGAACAAGGCAGACCTCGATAATCTGACATTACGACTCAATCGACTAGTTGTCAATTTGTGCAACGCCCCGCCAGCCTTGGATCCTGTTGAACAATCCAAGAGAGATTCATTTATTAGGTATTCACCTTGTTGGCGTGTGCTTGAATCCATCTGACATCGAGTCACACTTAGGATGCTGCAAGGCACCTCAGCACGAGTGACAATGTTGCGTGAACATTGTCTCACATCCACATCCGTCACGCAGGCCATTGCTGGATGCTTTACTGAAATAGATCGTTATCTGGCCGACTATCTGGTTGTGTTTTATTTTCTCATAAGATTGTTTGCATTTTCTCACTACTCTGTGGCCAGTGGTCGTCCCAAATCCAAAGTCAATGTGATGCACATGAAGCGTTGGTAATTCTATGGAGGGAGCAGGAGGATCGTCAGAAATTCCTGATGACAATTGAAAGCATAGTTATGCGCGGACAGTCCTCCGTGGGACCGTCTGCATCAGGAACCGTCGCCCTTGGCTGCGCGACTTTAGTAGACACAACAGGTCACCACCATGCGATCTCAGTGAACTTCTGCACATCATATCAGGTCTGCTTGCAGGCCTCGAAATCCTTCTTCTGGGAGCTTACTCGTCAAATTTTCTTTAGCAACTCAGTAACATGCTTTGAATTCTGTTTGAACGCGATGCGATTGAAGCCCAGATTCAAAGACGGTATATAGAAGAAGGGGAGTACGATTTGTGCATTGACAAGGGCATGCAAGTAACCCCACTCACAACCCACGGATGGTCAAGCATTGAACCAGGCATGAAGATTGTGATGAGGGTTATAATTCAACAAGAGACAGAATCAGGCTGGGCTGTTGACTACCAATGTCACTTTTGTGGCGCTGTGAATTGCCTTGGTGTCGGGTCTGTGAAATATGTTTGGTCTCCAGGGCAAACTGTTTGCTCGACTGATTGGTGGGTATGTTTAATTTCTAGGTCCTGATGGTGCCTAATGATGAGAAGTCGAGAATGCAAACGACTGCTTTCAGATTACCCGTGACGAAGAGAAAGAGAGCACACAATCCTCTAACAGTGACTCCAATCACACAACTGACGCAGAAATGTTCCTTATTCGCAACTTTCATGTTGAGCAAATTGTATGTCATCTTGGAATTTCGCTAGTAATCTTGAGCTGAGATCTTGATGTACCTCCTGCTCTCAGGCTGTGTGTGATTTGTATTCGGAGGTTCTTAGGTGATGCTGATGGTGCCACGGCCATGTCCCGCTCTCAGAGAGTGCGTGATATCGTGTTTGGAGGTTCTTGGGCGACACTGATGGTGCCATGGCCATGTCCCGCTCTCAGGGAGTGTGTGATCTCGTGTTTGGAGGTTCTTAGGTGACGCTGATGGTGCCACTGCCATGTCCCGCTCTCAGGGAGTGCGTGATCTCGTGTTTTGAGGTTCTTGGGCGACGCTGACGGTGCCACTGCCATGTCCCGCTCTCAGTATGTGTGTGATCTCGTGTTTCGAGGTTCTTGGGCGACGCTGACGGTGCCACTGCCATGTCCTGCTCTCAGTATGTGCATGATCTCATGTTTCGAGGTTCTTGGGCGACGCTGACGGTGCCACGGCCATGTCCCGCTCTCAGGATGTGCGTGATCTCATGTTTGGATGTTCTTAGGCGACACTGATGGTGCCACGGCCATGTCCCGCTCTCAGTCTGTGCGTGATCTCGTGTTTCGAGGTTTTTGGGTGACGCTGACGGTGCCATGGCCATGTCCCACTCTCAGAGAGTGCGTGATCTCAGTGTTTGGAGGTTTTTTGGGCGACAGCTGACGGTGCCACGGCCATGTCCTGCTCTCAGTATGTGCGTGATCTCGTGTTTGGAGGTTTTTGGGCGACGCTGATGGTGCCACAGCCATGTCCCGCTCTCAGATTGGTGCGTGATCTCGTGTTTGGAGGTTCTTAGGCGACACTGATGGTGCCACGGCCATGTCCCACTCTCAGTTGGTGCGTGATCTCGTGTTTGGAGATTCTTAGGCGACGCTGATGGTGCCACAGGCCATGTCCCGCTCTCAGTCCACATAGTACAGTAACTTATACCCATATTAGATGGACAGCTGAGGGTGACAATGTACCAATAGAGGCGGGCCAGCCCATGTGGGCCCATGGCCATAAGTGTACCATGATAGACGAGTGGGCCGGAGGGTGGTGTGTACCTGTTCCAAATGGATGGGCCGGTGGTATATCTTGTAGATGGTAGTATAGGAATGTACTATATAGGATATCTATGTATATAAATGAATTCGGTGTGCGATGGAGATGAGTGGGCTGGACGAATGCAGTGCAATGTAAATGAGTGGGCCAGGGAGATGAGTGTGATGGAGATGAGTGGGCCAAGAGTACAGGGTACAATGAAGATGGGTGGGCTGGGGGTATGGGGTGCACTAGAGTCCAGTGGGCCAGGGATATAGGTGCGATGGGGATGAGTGGGCCGGTATGTGAGGCACAATGGAAGACGAATGGGCTGGGGGTAAAGCTCGATGATATCCCATCCGGTAGATGATGGAAATTTCTTCCGGTATGGAAGGCGAAGGTGAAATGGATGATATGGATGAACCAGAAGTGTTAAATGAATGGGCCAGAAGAGCCGGAGGGGCATGAAATGGATAATACGGATGAGCCGGAAGTGTTAAACGGATGAGCCAGATGGGGATGAAATGGATGATACAGATGAGACGGCAGTACATGAAATGGATGATACAGATGAGCTGGTGGTGAATGAAATGGATGAGCCGGATGGGGATGAAATGGACGATACAGATGAGACGGTAGTACATGAATGGATACAGATGAGACGGCAGTACATGAAATGGATGATACAGATGAGCCTGGTGGTGAATGAAATGGATGAGCCGGATGGGGATGCAATGGATGATACAGATGAGACGGTAGTACATGAAATGGAATAGGCTGAGGGATGGGGTGGGATAAGAGGTGGGTAAGGGCATGCGGTGCATACAGAGTATACTAACTGGAGAAGAGTGGGCCGAGGGATGGGGGTGAAATATGAGGCAGGTCAATGTATCCGGTACATGCAGTGTACTGACCGGATATGAATTGGCTGAGGGATGGGACATGATATGGGTAGCACGATACCTTACCCAGTGCAGTGTATTCTAACCGGCAATGTACATCCGGGTCTATACCCATACAGTTCGTCCATGATAAATATCCGGTACGGCTCAATTATCCACCCAGCGCATTCAGAAACCATCTCAATACAATAACCGAGTATACCAGATGTATATTTGAATGAGTACATAGAGTTGCTAAATATTTACATGGTCATATTTTGCATACTCTGTGCTCGGAGTCCCAACAAAATTGTGGATGCTGTCTCGCATGTATACTAGTGCCATGGCTCGGCTATGGCTGGCTCCGGCTCGGTATTCACCGGTTTGTGAGAATTTCGGCGATACCCGTTAGCCAAACCACTGGTCACTGGCTTGATCTGATTCATAAGCCATGTGAGCCTGGCTACAACTTTCGTCAGCCAAAAATATATGAACCGCGGTTTGAACTGCTTTAAGCCAGCTCAAGCCAGCTCAAGTCACGCGGCAGTTGCGTGGAAGGACTGCTTTTTTGGTTGCCTCCAGACTCCAGTGTTGTTGGTCGGATTCCCTTGATTTCTCTACTCGTGGGCTATTGTATACACTATGGATAAGGTTCCCATTCGAGTTGACGGAAGATTCAGGCTAGGAGACATTTTGGGATCCGGCTCATATGGTATGTTATTTACATATCACGATTACTGACTATATGTTTAATTCAACATTTGGACCCCATTAGCTGTCGTGTATCGTGCACGGAACATCATAAAGAATGACGCAGTTGCCATCAAACTTGAACCCATCACCCATTCATCATCTGTCCAGCACTGAATACAATATTTTGAAACACCTTGAAGGTGGTGTTGGTATTCCTCGTGCCCTCTGGTTCGGTAGGGAGTCGACATATCATGCTCTCGTTCTCGATCTCCTTGGGCCATCCTTACACAGTCTCTTCCTTTCTCACAGCCGAAAATTCAGCCTTGAGACTGTCATAAATCTAGGGGATCAGCTGGTCCGTCAGTGTGTGCTACTGTGTGGGTTGCATGTACTGACCCCTTTCCCCAGCTTTCACTGTCTCGAATACGTTCACTCGCACAATTATATTCACGGTGACATTAAACCACAAAACGTTGTTCTGGGTCTTGGCGATTTGAGGCACACCGCCTTCATCATTGATTTTGGTATCGTGAAGGAATTCTGGAATATGACAACCAGTGTCCATATACCGTTTCGCCAAGGTCAACGTCTCACTGGCACTCCTGCGTTTGCAGTCAATCAACAATCACCTGGGAGTTGAACCAGGTCGTCGTGACGACCTCGAGTCACTTACGTACATGTTGATATACTTCTTGCAGGGCTCCCTTCCTTGGTTAATCAGTGGCGAAGAAAAACTTTCCAGTTCTTCCATACTTCGAGCGCAAAGTAAACACCACTATCGAAGATCTATGCCGTGGAATCCCTGTCGAATTTGCAACAATGCTCATTTACACGTGCTCTCTCGCATTCTCAGAGGAACCCGACTACAATCACCTTCGTTCATTACTTCACACACTTCGTTCTACACTACCGGCACCAGCTGCATGCTTGCTGGATATAAACCAGCCTGGTGTACCTATCACACATTCCCCCTCCCCTCCATTCTTCGATAAACCCTGTGTAATTGAGGCAGTGTCTCCATGCCTGCCGCTTCGCAGATCGACTTGTATGTGAGTAGCTCATTTATCTTAGTACTTACGAACTAATGCAATTTCAAGTTTGCGTCCACGAAATGACTCCCTGTTGCATCATGTACCCACTTCAACTCCACGCCGGAAACAAGCTAGATCGTGATACTGTCGGATACCTGTAGCATGTAGGGAGTAGTTTGTACATGTACATGTACTTTGTGATATAGTAGCATTCGCAGCACCTACTGTATCAATATTAATTTCTTACAATGAGCTTTGCGTCACACATACGACGTGGCGGATGCAATAGTCACCTGAACCGGATATTGATATCCAAGTTTCATCCATTCCCACGCAGCGCCTCTTATCTTTCAACATCCCCTGCAGGCTGCAGGCTACAGCCTTAAAATGACCTTCACAGCTCGTGAGGGACTCATCGTGACTTCCAGAACCTTCATAATCGGTAATTCAGCCATACAACATAACGACAACGACTCAGGAAGTACTTATCGATGGAGATCCAGCTTTGATTCCATCGATCATCCAAGTCGATTTAACTACACCTGAGGGTAAAGATGTGCTTGACTTCAAGCCTTTGGGCCCTCTGGAATCTGGAGTTTCAATTTGGAGTTAATTCTCTCTAGGTATGCACAATTTCAGCGAACATTTTCACCCCCCACTAACTGCTGAATAGATTTGACCTGCCTGAAGCATGCATGAGTTGCGGAGTCTGCCTCATGACAATCGCCCTTTGGGCTTTTCCATCAGGGTCTCAGGATCATTGCACATCGACATGTTCTGGGGTTTCCCCAGATACTATTATATATGTAGGTCAGTAATTCTGCTGTTGGATCATCTCCACTACCACCGCCATTAACATGCCCCCTCGAAAGAAGAACGCCCGGGCTGCTGCCAGAGCTGCTGCCATTGTTCCCACTGTTGTTCCCATTCCTCCTGCCCCTGCCCCTGCTGCAACCATCTCTCCCGCTCCTGTCACTCCCACTGCCGCTCCTGGTCCAACCGCTGCTGCAGCAAATGCGAATATTCTTCGTAACCCTCAAAGGCATCGTCAGCTTCCTGCTCGGTTTCGAGACAACGATGCAGATGAAGGGGAATCCTTCCACCTTGACAACGTCTCCGGGGATGAGGGGGACGAAATTGTCAATTCGCCTGCACCTGCAGTTAGGCCTGCTGCAGGCCATAGTCCATTGCAGACTGCATGCCATAGTCCAATGCAGACTGCGATGAGTACTGCTATAACTGACCCTCTGGCCACTGGTGGCCGAGCAAAAGCGCCGAAAACCTCTGCCGATATACATTTTTTCTACAGACAGGACCCTACCACACTTTCGAATATCTGCAAAGCCTGCGAGTGAGTATCGTGTTTGGTGTCATCGTTCTCTCTGACATCCTTCACCAGAGCAATTCCATAATCTCGACGATACTCATCACATAATGTCATACCTTCCTAGCACAGGTACATCAGCTCGTCGTGCACACGCCTTCGTCGACCATACCGACATTTACCTGGAGGAGGCAGAGCGTCAGCACTGGCATGTCCTCCATAAGTCGTCACGTTTGAAGACATTTTTGGATGAAGGCTGGACGGTCGCAACCATGCGTCAAAGGCTGAAGGATCCAGCTTACACGTTAGACTCACTCGGTACTCCCCCTAGTCCTGGCTCACTCCCTGGAACTAGCCTGTCAGCTCCAGACGATGTATTGCCTGCGTTTAATCTGGACGAGATGCACAAACAGATCGTGAAATTCATTGTCACCAACGATCAGGTGAGTCAATGTTCACTTTCTACACGCTATGTTTAGTAACTGTCTTCAGGCTGATAAATATTGTTGAATGTCCAGAATTCCGTCGTTTGATCCGTCTTCTGCGAACCATCGGTGAACGAGACCAATATATATCACCGGACCAAAATTCGTGAGCTGGTCATTGACGCTTTCCATGAATACTTCAACGCTTTGAAGAAGGACCTCGCGGTAAGCCTACAGTTGTCAAGAGCCTTGCAAAATATCTTATATCTTTTAGGCCGCTCAGGGAAAGGTTTCATTCACATCTGACCTCTGGTCAGATTCTAACCTTCGCCCGTTCATGGCCGTTACGGCCCACTGGATTGCTAAGGCTGAGCAGAGTTCAGTCCTCGTTTTGAGGGCTGCATTAATAGGCTTTCATCATGTTCCAGGCAGTCACACAGGTGATTTGCTAGCGACAGTCATTTTGCACCTTCTTGATCGTGCTGCTGTGACCGAAAAGGTCAGTGTTTAATTTTACTGTTTTACATGCTCTGACTCTGTTTAGAGTGGTCATTTTACCTTGGACAACGCTGCCAACAATCAGGTTTGCATGCGAGAGCTTTCGCAAAAGCTGGAGTGTCGCGGAATTGATTTTGACCCTATTGACCGCAGAATCCCTTGCTTCCCCCATATCATCAATATATGTGTGAAGCATATTATTGATGATTACCACGACGCCGACTTTTCGCTTGTGGCCGAACAATGGTCAATTGGCGATCGCAATCGCCCGGTCATCAAGGAGGAATATCTCGAAGCAGTGACAGGGAAAGCTTCTCAGCAGAGCTAGGGACCTTGTGCGCACGGTTCGTGCATCAGACCAGCGACGTAATGCGTTCAGGGACATCATCATCACAGGTAACGAGAAGGAGTGGTTCCGAAATGACCTGGGTGAGAAAGTGTGCCTCCCTGTTGTCGAACTTCTGCTTGATGAGGTCACTCGTTGGGATTCAACTTTTGTCATGGTTAACCGAATGGGAACCCTTCGCCAGGTAAGGCATTGTTCATGAAATATTTGTTGTGAACTAATAGTTGCCCAGGCAATAGATCTATACTTCAGTTCTGCCACTCAACGCTCTATCAGCAAGTTCAAGTTAAGCCCGATGGATTGGCAGTTCCTACAGGATCTCGAAGTAGTCCTAGAGGTTAGTTTTAATATCGTCGAAACTCGTGTTCCATCTTATCATTTTATATTAGGCACCTCACGCTGCCCAACAATGCATGTCGGGTGAACGCACTCCCATGCTGAGTGGTGCATATCCTGCATTCGAAACATTGATTGAGCGGTGGAAATCGTTGGCCAGACACGTCCCACACTGCAGCCCCCTTGTTAAGATAGGTTTGACTTGGGCAGACAAGTATGACGACAGGATGGGCGCCACAAATGCCTATGCAGTCGCTATGTGTGAGTCCGGCATTTTTTAAAAATATTTGGTTGCTCATGAGTCACAATTGCATCTATAGTTGTTGATCCGGCAATCCGAATGTCATGGATTCGGAGTCGTTGGGAGGAACAACTGGTTGAAGATGTGCAGAAATACATAATCAAGCTGGTACGTCCATCGAACCAACAACAACGCAACTTTGAACTAATATTATCACACGCAGATGCATCAAAAGCGAGCCACGAACAGCTTGTCATCTATCGAGTCTCCAGCTAATAAAATTGCACCTCGACCACAACCCTGCACGCTAGGCTCGCGCCTTTATGGACTTCCTGATATTGGCATCCTGCCAAGTAACAACAGTGGCCCTCAAACAGTCGAACAAGAATTCGAGGCCTACGCCATGGCTAATCTCAGCGCAAAGGGAACAGATATACTTGGATTCTGGATGGTGAGCGTCCTGTATCTCTACAATTTAAATCTTTATCGTTGACCATGAGATGTTCACCAGGTCTCGAAAACCTTATTTCCAACAATCTATGCCATTGCGATGGACTACCTCCCGATACAGGCCTCTGCTGTTCCGTGCGAGCGAGTATTTTCATCTGGTAGCAAGACTGACACGAAGAAACGCAATCGCATGAGCCCGGTCCTGATGGAGGCCCTGCAGGTGGTAAAGTTCCTTGTGAAAAAAGAATGACTCGACTTTACGAAAGGATGGTCTGTGTTGCAAAAGGATATGGAGTATGGGATGTTGGGCAATGGAGGGCAGACTAACGATCCTTTGGCATTTTCCAGCGGCGGAATGACAGGTGATGTATGCGACACTCTCCTCAGAGCTATTGCAGAGGAGGAGTGTGATGATATTGACGATGCTCCTACTACCTACGACTTGTGATGTTTGCTTTTCCTGCTCAATTGTTGTGGATTTTGTTTCACTCCTTCTTACACTGCTCTTACTTCTGTTTGCCTGGCATCTTGCAATGTTTCTTGCGTCATATCGTGATTTCAATTGTGAACTGTTCTATCTTCCTTGACTATCTTCATTTGGTCTTAGCGAGCCCTCACTCGTTTGTGCCCGTCTGCACTTGTGCGTGCCCATCTTCACTCATTTGTGCCCGTCTGTACTCATTTGTGCTCATCTGCACTTGTTTGCGGGAGGAAAATTCTAGACCACTAGTGGTACAGCTGCCAGTGTCATCGGGAACGAAGCATTCTGCCTCAAATATTTTTTGCGTCCTCCTTACATTAATTACAGCTCAAACTCTGGGCCGCCTCGGCCATCTGGTAGTCAAGGACATACTTCTGAAGATTCATCTTTAGTGATCATGGCCGACATAAAGAATGATTTCCTCGGCAGAATACCAGAGGTAAGTGACCTCATGTCGTTCACCATAGGCGTCTGACCTAAGGTTTGTTTGTCAGGCAAAATTCCGGCTGTAAGTGACCTCATGTTGTTCACTGCCGGCTGACCAGGAGGACCATTCAGTCTTCCACCCTCGTTCATTGGGAATCCCCCCAAACTTGGCAGAATACCAGGGTTAGTGACCTCATGTCATTCACCATAGGCGTTAATTGGGAATCCCCCCTGCTCATTTGAGGGCTCCTCGCACACAGCATATGGAAGATGAGTTCGAGCTTGTAATGGGCATCTTTGAGAAGGTCACCCATGACACAACGGAGTTTTTGCACCATGCAAGTTGATTTACCTGACTACCATATTGCATGCTGATGCGTCTCACAGGGCCTCGAGTCCAGCATGACATTTCCTCCATTTACAGACTATCAAGAAGCATTCTCTTCCCCACTACCGCCCTCTATGTTTGCCATGTTCACGGTACTGACTTGGATACCACAACCTGCTCTACTACTGCGCCTGGTGAAAGCCATTTATCCTTATTGGCGTGATCGCCGCATCAAAAGAAAAGGCCACCGAATTATACCCACTTTAAATGTGAGTATCTTTACGTTTGTATGATTCGAGCAAAGTGTTAATACTACTTAT